TAACCACCGAGCCATCTCCTTAGCTGATAAACTTAATAGCTGCTGTCACTGTTCTCACCTTTCATATTAAATGTCAGCAATAGGACTAGTGTTCTATAGTCTGTCTGAAGACTATGGAAGAAGTGCCTGAATGACCAAGTGAAAAAGAACTGGCTTTATGAAAATAATACAAATTAATTATATATCATAAAAATTGAATATTTAAATAGAAATATTTAAAACAATCATGCATCATCTAGGTCCTCCATGATCCTTTTGAGACAGAGTCTACCTTTATAGTCCTAGTCTGGCCTCAAACTTGTGAGCTCTGCTGCTTTTGCTTCCAAAATACTGGAATTAAAAATGTGTGCTAGTATACCTAGGCAATCCTGATCCTTGATGCTTTTCTGTATAGGCTTTTTTTTTTTTTGGTTTTTCGAGACAGGGTTTCTCTGTGTAGTCCTGGCTGTCCTGGAACTCACTCTGTAGACCAGGCTGGCCTCGAACTCAGAAATCCGCCTGCCTCTGCCTCCCAAGTGCTGGGATTAAAGGTGTGCGCTACCACTGCCCGGCCTGTATAGGCTTTTTAAATATAAATACTTTTGAACATTTTAACACATATTCATGTAACCATATCCAGTTCTTAAAAGTGAAGCTTCATCAATATAGTTGTTGCCTTATGAATGTCCTTACCACAGTCCCATTACTGCTTGCCAAGATCAGCTTCAACCTTTGTTGTTTTATTTTGTGTGTTTATGTGTATGAATGTACACATGTGCCTGTGTGTGTGTGTGTAAAGTCACTCTTCTTGTTGTTCTTAGGTAGCCATCCATCTTATTTTTTTAACTATTTATTTATTTATTTTTATTCTATGTACATTGGTGTTCTGTCTGCATGTATGTCTGTATGAGGATGACAGATCCCCTGGAACTGGAACTGGAACTGGAGTTATAAACAGTTGTGAGCTGCCATGTGGGTACTGGGAATTGAACTTGGGTCCTTTGGAAGAACAGCCAGTGTTCTTAACTGCTAAGCCATCTCTCCAGGCCATCCACCTTGTTTTTAAAAAGACATTTTTTGCACACATGTGTGGATGGGGAGGGAGTGCCTGCTGTGGCGCGTGTGTGGAGGCCAGAGATGACTTTGCAGAATCATTTCTCTCCTTTCACCTCCACATGCTGTATTAGTAACTTGTCTGTTGCTGTGGAGAAAACACTGTGACCAAGGCAGTTTATAAAAAGAAGAGTTAATTTGGTCTAATGGTCTGGAGTAGGTGTGGCCTCAGGAAGCTGAGGGATCACATCTTAAACTGCAAATACAAGGCAGTTCATGAACTGGAAATGGCTATAAACTCTCAAAGCATTTCTTCCAGCAAGGTTTCATTTCCTCAAACAACATCACAGACTGGGGACCAGGAGCGCAAAACTGTGAGCCTTTGGGGGACATTTCTCATTCAGACTACCACACATGGGTTCAAGGATCAAACTCAGGATGCCAACTGCTGAGGCATCCCTCCAGCCCTGGGCCTGGCTTCTTCCATGGGTGCTGGGGATTCAACTCAGGTCCTCATACTTGCATGGTAGAAACTTCAGTGACTGAGCAGTTCCCAGCCCCTTGCTTTTCATTTTCTGGCACATTTTAAAACTTGATACATTCATGCCATAAATAAAATATTCTCTTTTTTTTTTGTTATTGTTGTTTTTTTTGTTTTTTAAGACAGGGCTTCTCTGTGTAACTTTAGCTGTCCTGGAACTCTGTAGACCAGGCTGGTCTTGAATTCAAAGATCTGCCTGCATCTGCCTCCTGAGTGCCAGAATTAAAGGAGTGCACCACCACCACATGGCTAATGATATATTCTTACTGTTATTGTTGTTACTTTGGTTCTTTTGTTTGTGTTTGTGTTTGTGTTTTTGAGACAGGGTCTCTCTGTATAGCCCTGGCTCTCTTGGAACTCAGTATGTAGACTATCTAGCCTCTAACTCACAGAAATCCACCTGGCTCTGCCTCCCAGGTGCTGGGACTAAAGGTTTGTGGATTCTTACTGTTAAATTTTCCACTAAGAAAATTTATATGTTTAGAAGATGCATCTATACTAACATGGATCTCTTCTTTATATGTTTTTGCTGCAAATTCATTGTTTTCTTCATGGACTGTTATTGTATTTCTAGTGTATGCTTAGAAAGTCTGCTGTCATCACTCCTGCAATCCCATGGTTGGTTTAGTGTTCTACCAGTTATTCCTCAAAGTGGAGGCTTTACATGAATCCTAGGACTCCAGGGATGAACCACGCTTGGTGGAGGCTAAAGAAGAAGGATGGTCATAGGCTTGAAGTCAGCCTATATAGTGACTTCTGGAACAACTTGAGCTGCAGGCTAAGACCCTGTCTTAAGATCAGTCAGTCCATGAGATACCTAGACTCACAGGATTTTCTTATTCTTCCCTGTCTCATTCACTCATTCATTCATTTCCTCCCCTTCCCTTGTCCTACTTCCTTCCTTTCCTTCCTTTTGTTTTCTTTCTTCCTCCCTTCCTCCCTTTCTTTTTCTTTCTTTCCTTCCTTTTGTTTTCTTTCTTTTCTTCCTTCCTCCCTCCCCCCTCTTCCTTCCTTCCTTCCTTCCTTCCTTCCTTCCTTCCTTCCTTCCTTCTTTCCTTCCTTCCTTCTTCCCTCCCTCCTTCCCTCCTCTCTCTCTCTCTCTTTCTTTCTTTCTTTCTTTCTTTCTTTCTTTCTTTCTTTCTCTCTTTCTTTCTTTTGTGGCACTTGAGATCAAGTTCAAAGAGTTGTTCATGGTAGGCAGGTGTTCCTCCACTAATTTATATCTCTAGCTCTTTGCTGTTTCCAACATGTACAAAGTAAGTTAATGCAGTTGTTATGTGTGTTATCTTGTTCAACCGCTATTAGCACACAACCGGACTGAGATCTGATACCTGAGTGAAGAAGAGACAGTCTTACACAGAAGTATCAGATTTCACTTGGGTGGAGTCAGCCCCTTTTTCTTGTAAGCAAGAGGACGTGAGTTTAGATCCACAGACACTCATGCAAAAGCTGTGCATGGCCTGTGGGTAACCCTAGTGTTGGGAGAGCAGAGATAATTGGATCCTGGGAGCTTACCAGGCAACCAGCTTATTAACCTAAGCAACAACTTGAGATTCAGTGAGAGAGACTGCCTCAAAAAAAAAAAAAAAAAAAAAAGGGGAGAGCAGAAGAGTATACTCAGTGTTTTTCTCTGGCTTCTTCATGTGTTTCTGTACACACACACACACACACACACACACACACGCACATACACACATGAAAGTTCAGCCATAGTAACAGGAAGTGAGGAGAGAATCTAGATTTCATAGAGTTGTATTAGTAAATGTGAAAAAATCATTAATGTGGTCATTTGTTGTATGTGAGACAAGAAGGAGATGGTGGAGATTTAGAGGGAAGAGATATAAAAGTTATTTCAAAAGGAATTATGTACATGGGATGAGGATTGCTAGGACCCACTTTGGAATTAATGATAATGGATTTAAAACAAGACCACTTTTCAGATAGTCATGCCCAACCCCCATTCCCGTCCCTAGCCCAGTTTGTAGTCAGAGTAAGTAATGATTCAATCAGTTTGATTCTTTACCAATCAATAGGATGTTTTCTCAGATTTACTTACACCAGGTGCCATAGTTAATGGAGAAAAAGTTTAAATGCTGAGTCTCTTTTTATGTATTAATATATTCCATGAACAACTCTTTTGAGTTTGGTCTTGAGTGCCACAGAAAAAAGATAGAAAGAAGAGAGGGAGAAAGAGAGGGGGAATGGGAGGAAATGAATGAATGGATGAGACAGGGAGAAATAAGAGAAAGAAAAAATTGTTTGTATTATAGAAAAGGTAATAGTAGGGCATAGTAGTGTATACTTGTAAACCCAGCATTTGGGAGGTGGAGGAGAAGGTTAGGCGTTCTAGAACATCTTGGATGTGTAGTAAGCTCAGGGCCAGCCTGGACTACATAGGCCCTTTCTCATAAGGTACCCTCCAATAAAGAAAAAAATGAAAAATATAGAAACAATAATTTTCAATTATTATACTAAATCATTTGTACATTTTAAATAGAGCCTCACTTAAACAAACAAACAAAACCCATATTCTTTCCTTTTAGTTTGAGCCTTGTATGTTGGTTTGACATTGAGTTCAGAGGGAGACTGAGAGTCTATGGATATTTAAAGGTAATATAATATAATAATAAATAATGCCTACCCTTTAAAACTAAATTATTATTTAAATGAGGCAAGATTTAACAGCATAAAAAATGAACATTCTAAAAATGTACTTGTTTGATGCTTACTTTGCTTCTCTGTTTATTTTAAAATTAAAATTTATTACTGTGCGTGTGTATGTGTATGTAATCTATGTGTTAGTGTAGGCCTTGGTGTCCCATAGTGTGTGTATAGAAGTCAGAGGACAGCTTCCCTCCTTTTACCCTGGTTTCAAGGGACTGAACTCAGGTTGTCAGGCCATGTAGTTAGCGCTGTTGCCCACTGAGCCATCTTACTGTCCCTTTTCTCAGTCTATAACTGAAGACTTTCTTTCTTTCTTTCTTTCTTTCTTTCTTTCTTTCTTTCTTTCTTTCTTTCTTCCTTTCTTCCTTCCTTTCTTCCTTTCTTCCCTTTTTTCTTCTCCCTCTTGCTTGTTCTGGCCCTGCTTGCTCTGGCCCTGCTTGCTCTGGCCCAAAGCTTTATTATTTATTATATGTAAGTCCACTGTAGCTGTCTTCAGACACCCCATAAGAGGGCATCAGGTCTCATTACAGATGTTTGTGAGCCACCATGTGGTTGCTGGGATTTGAACTCAGGACCTCCAGAAGAGCAGTCAGTGTTCTTGACCATTGAGCCATCTCACCAGCCCTTCTTATAGTTTCTTAATTTATTAATTTTATAATTGAATAGCATACCAAAATAACCAACCTGCACATTAGTGATCAATTGTTTTTAACAGATATAATAATATACTAATACATTAATTTTGAAATTTTGTTTTTATCAGAAATTATGAGTCGAGGATCTCAAGTTCACATTTTTTGGGGTGCTCCAGTTGCTCCACTGAAAACAACAGTGTCACAGGGAACAAGTTCATTAATATCCACTGCCAACGCCTGGGAAAAAGTCCGACTCTTTTACAAACAGCATTCTTTGTATCTGAAGGCTAGAAATCAGGAGTTTAAAAATCTGGAAGATTGTCAAGTCCCTGAAGGTCTTGGCCATCCAGGCCTTCTTAGTGGTCACCTTTTAACGACTTCTTTGAGTAGGTCTGCTCAGGTGGAAGAAGGCTTTAAACATTATGCTTCTGAAGCACAGAGTGTGAAATCCCAGATTAACCTGAGTGATGTGACTAGTGTACAAATATGTGGGCTTCAGGATGGAGTTCAGCGTTTACCTGAAGAAGAAAGATATCAAAAGCTTCAATGTGAAAGTAAGACAATTATAGATGAGCAATTTAAAAATCAGTCAGATCCCAGTGTTTGGAACTTCCAAAGAGATTTGTGTCAGTTGGATGGTGAGTGTGCAGCTGAACTGGATCTGAGCTGTAGTTCTGAACAGATAACTACAGGGCCAGAGGCTGTGAAAACAAAGCCAGAGCCAACAGGACAGCATGAAAGAGAGAGTCAGGAGAGCTTTTCCGCTGGCACGCAGTGTGAACCACAGTCCGGGAGAGCAGTCAGGAAGGCCTCAGACCAGGGACTATCTACTGACGCTGAATTTCTCAGGGTAATGACCTCCAGCCAACTCGCTTTTCTAGCTCAAGGGAATGGTAAAGGTCAAGACTGTATAAATAAGAGGACTGTAAACATGGAGGCAGAACCGACAGGAAGTCAGGGAGTCAGACTAACTGAAGGGAATTTTAGTAAGCCTGGTGGAGATTTTGAAGAAGGATCCGAAAATGAGCAAAGCCAAGCATATTCCCTGGAACTTTTTAGTCCTGTTTGTCGTGAATCAGAAAGCAGTCACATTCATATAAGCCCTGGAAAAAGTCTTGAAAATACAAGCTCTCAAGAGCTTTTCACTAATGAAGAAAACTTGCCACCAAATGAGGTACGCATTGAGTTGTGTAGCTCAGGAATGCTTAGTCGGCTAAGCAACTTGCGTCAAAGTACTGCTAAACGGAGCCTGTGCTCTAAAGACAATTCCCATCATTCTAAACCTCTCTCTGAAGACCATCAGGTGTCCAAGAAGCCAAGGATGGACTCTAATATAAGAGAAGCAGCCAAAGCAGTGCCCCAGATGATCAAGTCTGAATTTAAGGACAGTAAAAAAATATCATTAATAAAAAATTGTGATTCTAAAAGTCAGAAGTATAACTGCTTAGTCATGGTGCTAACCCCATGTCATGTGAAGGAAATAAATGTAAAATCTGGACCAAATTCTGGTTCTAAAGTGCCATTAGCAACAATTGTAGTAATTGATCAGTCAGAAATTAAGAAGAAGGTTGTTCTGTGGAGGACTGCAGCGTTTTGGGCACTTACAGTGTTTCTTGGAGATATAATTTTACTTACAGGTAAGGCCATCGAGGTATAGTGGTAGCCTGTTGTATAAGGCTGTGTCTTCTGTTTATTGATTCCTTTGCCACTTGTCTTCCTTGGGTGTGACTGAGCTCTTGTAGCATGTGTGTTCTGCTTCCTTGGGCTTTAGTTCCCTTCTTTGTTCTGTGCTTCCTGCCCATTCATTTTCCCCTCTAAGAAGCCTCCCCTAGTTGGTTGTCATACTCATCCATCTTGTGTCAGTTGGAGTCCTGTCACTGGGCTCCTTTCTGCTGTCTTACTGCTGCATTTATGTGTCTGATTAACTCTCTTACTTTACTAGCAGTGTTATAAAAGGGCAATGTCTCTGCTACTTCACTCCAGTAGCGCTGTGTACGTTATACTATTCCTGAAGGAACAGACACAGATGTTGATGTTTAGTTTGTTGTTCTGTGACAGTCTCATGTAACCCATGCTGGCCTTGAATATGCTATTTTATTCAGCTGAGGATGGTCTTGCAGTCTTGTTCTTGAGTATTTGCCAAATGTTGGCACTACAGGCGTGCACTATCACTGCTTGATGGTGTTATTTTCTTGTGGGTGTGGTGTACTTGTGTGTTTGTAGCTATATGGGCACACTTGTGTGTAGGGTGTGTGTGTGTGTATGTGCATGTGCACACACCAAGAGCACATACACACACGGCATACTTACACATACATGCGTGTGAAGGCCAGAGGTTAATGTCTGGGGATTTTCTTGATGGCTTATATTGAGGCAGGGTCACTTGACCTCAGAGATCACCAATCTTGTCAGTCTAAATGCATAGCTTGGTTTAGGGATCCTATACCTCTGCCTCTCATTCTGGGATTGGAGGCGGCTGCCATGTGGCTTGGCATTTACCTGGGTGCTGGGGATCCAAACTCCATCCTCATGGTTTCATGCAAAGTGCTTTTTTTATTGAGCCATCTCCTCAGCCCTTGAATGCACTTTTAATACTAAAATTATATTAATCGTGTTTGAAATAAAAGCCTCATAGAATTAAGCTAATTTCATAAGAATATTTACAGACTGTTCCCTCAAGTAACTGTCTGTATATACATCAATACATATGCATCAATATGCTTATATATTGAAACTTTTTATCAGGCCCTGCTAATTTAGATCTACACGTGTATCTCATTATTGTAACTAGATGAGGATATTTATTAGCCCCAATTTTCAGTTGAGGAACCCAACATGCAGAAACAAAGAAACTGTACAATGACACAGATCTAGAAAGAGACAAAACATAATATCATTTAGGCCCCAGAATCTATGGTCTTTTAAAAAAAATTTTCTTTCTCTGTTTTTTCAAGACAGGTTTCTCTGTGTAGCTTTGGCCATCCTGGAACTCACTCTGTAGATCAGGCTATGCCTCAAACTCACAGAGATCCACCCACCTCTGTCTCTCGAGTGCAGGGAATAAAGGTGTGTACCACCATCTCCTGGCTCTATATCTGTCTGTATTATAGTTATAATCATAAAGATGATACAGTTCTTACCCTCCTCTTTCACCTAACACAAGAAATGTAACCCTTTTTTATTTTTAAGTGTTTTGAGACAGGATCCTAGTGTGTAGCCTAGCTTGGGAGAGTCAGTTCTGCTTCAGCCTCTCTTTGCTACAGTGTATATGCATGCCCCACCACACTGGACTAAAATCTTTAATATTTTGTTACATTTTCTTAAGTTAATTTAAAATCAATACAGTAGCATGGCGTGGTGGCTCAGGCCTGTAATCCCAGCACTTGAGAGGCAGGGTCAAGAGGTTATGGAGTTCAAGGCCAGGATCAGCTATAAAGAAGTTTGAGGCTAGCTTAGCTACATGAGACCCTGTCTTAAGCAACCAAAATATAAAATAAAACCAATACAGCATTTGAAAAGCTAGAAGAAGTTAGTTAATCTTACTAACCTAGCTAAGAAAGGATGTAATGGAGCTAGGCTTTGTTAGCCTTAGCTGAGAAAATAAAAACTGCAGTATGTTCATACAATACCAAATTGTTTTCAGGGAGATAAGTCCTATAGTTAATGTGTCCTGGCATATTCTTTATCTTTAATGAAATGTAGATGCAAGATTATAACACACAGGCTTAACATAGCGCTTTTTACATGTTGTTCTGTTATTGTTGGAGAGTTAGTTTATCCTTTTTGTTTTGTTTTTTTGTTTTGTTTTTTTATTTTTTGTTTTTCAAGACAGGGTATCTCTGTGTAGCCCTGGCTGTCCTGGAACTCACTCTGTAGACCAGGCTAGCCTCGAACTCTCGAACTCAGAAATCCACCTGCCTCTGCCTCCCAAGTGCTGGGATTAAAGACGTGCGCCACCACCGCCCGGGTAGTTTATCTAACTCATATTCTGACTCAGTACTTACAGAATGAATACCTCTGTGGCTTCCCAACTATAGATCTATTTACAAGTTATGTGAGAACATACTGTAAGTACTGTTTCTTTGGCAAATAAAACACCTCGCTGTAAATAAAAACAAAAGTTTTGATTTTCTTGTCATCTTAACCCATTTAATGTGAAATTATTCCCCAGAGCTAAGACTCATTTTTGGAGTATCAAAGAAATTAGTTTTTCCCAACAGTAAAGAAAGAGGTGAATCACCTGTACTGTGGTCACTTTTGATTAAGGCCATTTTACCTTAAGATCATTCACCGTGATTGAAAGAAAACAAATAACCTTCCCCCAACAACAAAAACCCCAATCCAACCAACCAACCAACCAACCAACCAACCAACCAAACAAAAATGAAAAGAAAAGAAAATGTCTAGTTTGTTTGTGATCTTCTCGGAGACCTTTTCTAGGTGTCTACTTGTGGATTTCCTAACACCCCCACAGTTGTTTACAACTAGGTAACGTCAAGTGACTGCTAGAATTTATCTACCTATTTTTCTGTTATAGGACCATTAGATTATTTTTATAAATGCCTTTTAAAAGGTATCTTTGTTGTTGTATTATTATTATTTCTTAAAAAAAAACATATTGAAGTCTGTGTGTAGTGGCACATGCCTTTAATCCCAGCACTCAGGAAACAGAAGCAGGCGGATCCTTGTGAGTTCGAGGCCAGCCTGGTCTGCAGAGTGAGTTCCAGGACAGCCAGGGCTACATAGTGACACCCTGTCTCAAAAACAAAACAAATACCGTCTCCCCAAACAATAAAAACCCCAATCCAGACAAACAAAGAAAAGAAGACGTCTAGTTTGTCTGTTGTTTTCTTTTTGTGGACCAAGTGGGAAATTTGTGCGAAAAGAAACCTATACTTTTAAATTGTCTTATCTTTAGTAGTGAATACCCATTTTTAATTGCTAGCATTCAACTGTGCATTATTATATTTCTACCCTTAATAACTCATTTCTACCTACTCAGAATTGAAAATTTCTGTGTAAGAGATAAGTTCTAGAACATGTTCTGTATAGAGCATGATAGACTTTTAGTAACAGTAGGTGTTAGAAGTTTGAACTGTCTGTGAGTGTCTACCACTAGAGTTAAAAGAAGAGGGCCTAGGACTTAACCTTGGAGAGTCCTAGTATTTAGATGGAAGGAAAGGAGGTAAAAGCTGGATCATAGAAGTGAAGGATAAAAGAGAACCAGGAGGCAAGGGCTGGGCCACCATTTTGCCTTACTCTATCACTCAGTGTTTCACAAATCCAACATAGAGTTTAAAATTTTCTTGAAATTTCTCAGATGTTCTTATCTTCTGAACAGCAGGTGTTCTGAGCATCACATCATGAAAAGCCTGGATTTTTTTTTGATGGTGTTGGGGATTGAACCCAGGCCTCACACATAGGAGTCACATGTTCTTTTAATGACAGGTTTTGAAAGCTATGCTAGCTCTTTCTAGTTAGGTGGTAGAGAGCCTCTGAATATTAGTGTTAGTATCTTATACTAATAACGCTTTTATACAACAGTTATATCTTACCCGTGAGTATAGTATATTCCTATGATATCTGCCTTCATAGCTTCTTTCCAACCCCTCTCAGAATTCCCACCCCCAGGTATTTTTACCTGTTGGGTGTGTTAATTCCCACTAAATGTTTTTTCTCTATAGCTCTTTTTTTTTTCCATTTGATGTTTCTTAACTCTAAAGTATTTGACTTTCAACATCTAACAAAATATAATTAACATGCTGCTTAGGGAAAAATAATAAGAAAGATTTTAAAGTCTGCCATATATTCATGTATATTCATAGTACAAGGGACTGACACACTATAATTATTGTTTGAGGCAACATTGCTTTGGAATCCCTACCCCCCCTCCCCAGACTTACAGGAATTACAGGACTACACCATGCCTTGTGAATCCATTTTGTTTCATTGTCACCCTAAGGACTTAGGATCACACCATGATAGGCAGATATCTACTATTAAGTTACATCTCTAGCCCATCATTCTTTTACTTGTAGTAATACCTGAACATGGTATTTAGTATATCTGACCTAAGAGTAATATAGCCACCAACATGAAATGAAAAGCTGTTTGGAAATACGACTCATCATTGTAGCTCATGGGCTTGATTCCAGTACTCAGGAGGCAGAGGCAGGCAAATCTCTAAGTTCAAGGCCAGCCTGGTCTATTTAGTAAGTTACAAGAAAGTCAGAGCAACATAGTGAGACCATGTCTCTCATTCATACATATATGTGTATGTATATATATATACATACACATATATGTATATATATTCTCTAAGGTGAACATGTGATGATGTGATAGTTTGAATATTATATATCTAAAATCTCTCCATGATATAACTTGTTCCACAGTAAAGTCCTCATTGGTTAATATTTTTTACAACTTAATATAAGGTAGAGTCATTAGAGAAGAGGGAAACTCAGTTGAGAAAATGCCCCCCAATCTGATTGGCCTATAGATAAGCATATGGGGCATTTTCTTGATTGCTGCCTGATGTGGTAGGGCCCAGGCCATTGTGGGTGCCATTCCTGAGCAGGTGGTCCTGGGTTGTATGAGAAAGACTGAACAAGCAGTGAATAGTAAGTTCTGGAGGGCAAGCCATTACGCAGCATTCCTCCATGGTTTCTGCTTCAGTTCCTGCTCCCAGGTTTCTGTACCAAGTTTCTGCTCAGACTTCCCTCAGTAAAAAATGGTGAGATGTAAGATGAAAGTTTGATTTCCTCTGGATAGAAAAGGGGAATGTCTCAGTATTTTACTAATGCTGGTGCTCTGCCATTTTGGTGTGATATCATTCCTACTGCTGCATGCTAGGAAAAAGTAGTGGGGCTTGGGATGGGAAGGGCAAGCTCAGCTGAAAGCAATGTGAACGTTGTTTCCTTGTCTCCTCTTAGATCAGGTGACTCCTGGCTTGCTCATGCCTCAGAAGGCAAAGGGCTAGGTTCAGAAATTAAACTTGCTGTTTTACTGTTTTGAGCCTTTGGGTAGGTCTTTCGGTCTAACAGAACTTTGGTTGCCTGGTATGTGAGATGTATGTATAATGTTTTGCTATAATCGATTGGTTACTATTACTACTGTGTGTTTATTAAGTTAACCACAGTCTAAAGGAGTTTATGGTGTGATCAGATTTCATTTTGTTTTGTTTTTAGATGTTGCTGTTTATGAGGATCGGTGGGCTGGTGAGACAGTACTCCAGTCGACATTTACCAGCCAGTTACTAAATCTTGGAAGTTATTCATGTGTCCAGCCTGACAAATGTAAGACATATTTTGAATGTGCTGAACTTAGGATGTTTTCATTGATGACTTTTTGGCTTTAGGATAGTACAAAGCCAGTCTGAGCATACTTTGGGTTTTGATCTTTTGTGTACTAGTGATGCTCCCATTGCAGAGAGCCATGGCTCCCAGTCAGCATCTGATTAGAAGGTGAACCACTGAGTGTCACACTGTGTGGCGTTGCTAAGTGGGACAAATGGTAGGTTAGGTATAGTTAACATATTTTTGACATATCTTTGGTTTGTTGTGGGTTACTGGAATGTTACCTCATTGTAAATCCACTGTAAGTCTGCAAACAAACATGTTAGGAAAGATTTGAGTAAAATGTTTTTTGGTTTTTTTTTTTTTTTTCTAAATAGCTATTTTCATTTTAAGCTGAAATTGGAGCTCATTTATTTTTATTTTATTTTTTTGCAATATTAGTATTGAACATAGGGCCCTACTCAGTGCTAAGCGTGTGCTTTATCCTCATCCTTTTCAAAAAATTAAAAATAGGACTTAAAAGGATGACTGTGTTAGGGGTAAACAGGGGACCCCAGCCCCAGGTGACAACTGTGTGCCTAGAAGAGAAAAGAGGGGGGAAAAAAAAGATTAACTTCTGTATTGTAAATCGAATATTGTGGTTCTACAAAGTGGTAGTTCTTAACATTTAATGAGTTTTCTCTTTGAGATACTATAGTCCATGTCTATAGAAAAATGTAGGTGGCCAAAAATAAGAAAAGAAAAAAAAAACATTGTCTAAGTCCTCTACTGACTTCTGAAATTAACTGTGTAATTGCTGGGCCTCTGAATCTTTGAGATAATTAAAGTAAAATTGGATGCATTGTCAGACTAATGTAGTTTGAATCCTTTTCTATCATTGCTGAGAAAAACTATATTTTTGGTGAGCATTGCATACATCACAAGTATTTCTCAACGAGTATTCTGTTATGTGGGCATTCTATTGTTTGTTTAAGTATTTACTTGTTGAAGAACATTTGAGTTATTTCTCATTTGAGGTTTTAAAGAGTATAGATTTTTGTGTAAACATAAATGCTCATATCTTTGGCACAGACTTCTAGGGTACAATTGCTGGGTTGTATTCTAAGTACATACATAGTTTTATGAGAAATTACCAGCTGGAGCATGGTGGTGCATACCTTTAATCCTAGCACGAGGGAGGCAGAGGCAGGTGGATCTCTGAGTTTGAGGCTAGCCTGGTCTACAGAGCAAGTTCCAGGATAGCTAGGGCTACACGAAGCAACCCTATCTCAAAACAAACAAACAAGCAAACCTTGTGTTCTCGAGCGAACACACATACACACACCCATCACCACCAACAAAAAGAAATCACTAAACTGTTTTCCATTCTGCCTATACTACTTTAAAGACTTTGCATCGGCTGGAGTATAGCAACCGATAGAAGGCCTGCCTACCCTATGCAAGGCTTTGTGTTTGATCTCTAGCACCTCACAATACACAAATAAGTAACTGAATAAATAAATAAGCCATGTGGAGTATCACATGCTTCAAATCATAGCTACTTGGAAAGCTGATATAGAATATTATAAAGTTGAGGCCAGCTTAGGCAATGATACTTAAAAATTGGAGTCTCTGGGTTGGTCCCCAACACTGCAAAATAAGTAAAAGAAATCACCTACTTAGTAGGAGTACATTACAACTTTAATGGCATATTGTAGAATATCTGTAAGAAAACTATGTGAGGTATCTGTTCCACAGTAAGGTGACTGTAATAAAGCTAGAATTAAGTATTTGAAATGTTTTCACCTTAAAGAAACATGAAATTTCTATGGAGAGAGGTGTGTCTAACTTGATTTAAACATTTTACTATATTTTATTTTATTTTATTATTTTATTTTATTTTTCGAGACAGAGTTTCTCTGTATAGCCCTGGCTTGTCCTGGAACTCAGTCTGTAGACCAGGCTGGCCTCACACTCAGAAATCTGCCTGCCTCTGCCTCCCAAGTGCTGGAGTTAAAGGGGTGCGCCACCACCACCCGGCTGATTTAAACTTTTTATGATATGTTTATTTATTGAAGCATTACATGGCATCATGTTCATTTGTATAATTTTTATGTGTTTATTAAAAATAGATTTTAGTAAATAAATACAATCAAAGTCTACTCTGGTAGAGCATTGGCCTATAGCACGTGCATCACCATGGATTTGATCCCCGACACCACAAAAATAAGGTAGGATTCATATCAGCAATACCTTTCACAGTTTATCTTTTCCATGGCAACTTTTACTGTCATCCTATTTTTAAAAAGCTTGATCCATTCTAAGAGATGTTCTGAGTAGTAAACTCTAAGGAACTCCTTGAGAAGTCATTTCCCTAAAGAGACAGAAGTTCTAATTAGCGTACTTAGTAGATTAGGTCTGTATGTAACCAAGGTCACATAGAACGTGCTATGTCTTCAGACATTAATTCCATAGTAGATTGTTAAAAGCCTGGTGACTTTCATCAAGGAGGAATATAAATCTCTGCTTACGAAAGTGCTATAAGACTAGAGATCATTAGCAACAACAAAAACCAGCTTTTTCTTTTTAAAGTTTTGAAACTTTTAAGACAAATTTTGGATTTAAAGGAGTGATGTAAAATTTGCAGAAGTAACGCCTGTGATATTTATTGGAACACAGAAGATATGCTTAAAGCAGCTAATAGACTAATATTTCTTAGCGAAACACTTCTACCAATAAAAATGAAAGAATAAAAATAAAGTTTGAAGCTCAGAAAATTTGCAAAACAACTAAGTAAGCCATAGAAACCAAAAAGTATAAAATCATAACATTAATCAGAAATCAATAAGACTAAAATTGTAAAACAATATAAGGAATCAGAGTCCTCTCCCCCACCCTTCACTTCTCAAGACAGGGTATCTCTGTGTAACCCTGGCTGTCCTGCGGTATATTAAACTGTGCTTGTAAAACAAGTACTTATTTATAAGGGTCCACTTATATCCTTTTATTGTTACTATTAATAGAGTAATTAAGTCAGAAAGTTTATTGTATGATATGTGAAATGTTCACATTAGAGGACATGGAGTGAGGAATATAAAGGAACTTTATATATTTGTAACTATTTTTATACATTTAACATTAATTCAAAGCATAAAAGCCAAGAGTGGTAGTATACACCTTTAATCCCAGCACTTGGGAGGGAGAGGCAGAGTTTGAGGCCAGCCTGATTTACATAGTCACTAGAATAATAGCCAGGGCACCATAGAAAGGCTTTGTCTCAAAAAATAAAAGTTTTTTCAATATGCATATATGTGTTTATGTGTTCATGTGGAGGGGTGAGGTACATGTGTGCCTTGCATGTAGAGGCTAGAAAGCAACCCTGGGTGATAGATATTCTCAGAAATGCTAACACCTTCTTTGAAACATGGTTTCTTTTTGTCCTTCAGCTCACCAGTTAGGCTAGACTGGCTGACTAGCAGGCATTAGAGGTCCTTCTGTGTCTTGTTTCCCCAGCCATGGAATGACCAGCATAAATTACATGCCTAGGGCTTTTATGTGTTTACTGGGAACTGGACTTAGGTCTTCATGCTTGTGAGGAAAGCACTTGGCCAACTGAGCTAGCTCCCTAACCTGAAACAGGACATTTTTAAAAGTCACTTACGATCATGTCAATAGGTGTAAAGAAATCTTTTGATGAAATTCAGTATCCATTATTAGAAACAGGAGGAAATTTCTCTTTATGTCATAAAGAGTCTTTAAAAAACCTGTCTTAGCCAATGTTCTATTGGTGTGAATAGACATTACGACCACTTCAACTCTTACAAAGGAAAACATTTAATTGGGGCTGGCTTAGTCCATTATCATCATGGTGGGCACATACCATGCAGGCAGACATGGTGCTGGAGAAGGAGCTGAGAGTTCTACAGCAAGGTCCAAAGGAAGAGAGAGACTCTGGTTGGCTTGGGCTTATGATGCCTCATACCATCCTCAGTGATATACTTCATTTAGTACAGCCACACCTACCCAACAAGGCCATACCTCCTAATTCTTTTAAGCAGTGCCCTCTCTCCAGCCTGAGCTGTGAAGTTTTAATACCACGCTTCTTCCCTGTAATCAGAAGTATTCTCCTGGCCAGGATTCAGAATCCAGTCCCATGACATTTGCTCTGAGGGTCCCAGGAATGTGATTCACTAAGAGTCTCAAGCCCCAAGCTACTGAAACTTCAAAGATCTTTTAAAATAAGTGTCTTGCTGATGCTCTAGTTAAATGCTAAGAGCAGGGGCTTTTTCTGGGACATGTGTTCTTCCTCTGCTGTTGTTATGTATAACTTTTGTTTCCTTCCTCCCTTCTTTTCCTCTTTAAAATATCTGTTACTGAGAGCACAGGAACTATTTTCTGAGGTCTTTTGTCTTATGAATGACTCCAGTGTGAGAAGGTAGCTCTCCAGACCACACAAACCCCTCTGGGACAGACTGTGTATTTTTTTTTCCTTGCTGTTGTACTAGAGGTTTTCAGCTACCATGCATCTTTCCTCATAGCTGCTATCCAACTTTCTCCAGTTTATTCCCTGAAGGTTCTAGCCAACTGTTTTCTAGGTAGTTCCTTTTCTGTGTCTATTTTCAGGAATGTTTCTCCCTTTTCATAACTGTCCTTCCCCCCTTTTCTATTCCTCCTGACCATTTATGGTTCTAGGGATAGAGCCCAGTGCCACCCAAGTGCTACGTAAACAATTTACTGAAAGTCAACCCTGTCCTCAGTTTACATTCTACACTGAATGTTTGCTACCGTCTGTCTTTAGGTCAATCAGTAACTCTTTCTATGTTGAGAACATGATGATGTGTTTTTTTTATTTTTCTGTCTCCTTAGCTTCTGGTATAGCGGGTGTCACGTAGCAGATGATCCTCTGGTGAGTGAGTGAATACTTAGGTGTTAGTGTAGCAGATGGAGTGGATACAGATGATCGTGTTAATGAAGGAAAGAATAAAGAATGATATATTACTCTATAAACTCTTGATTTCTAAAAAACCACCAAGTATATATGGGTAACATCTTCTTTTGGCCATAAGTCTGTTGTATATATGAACATATCTTCCTTTCCTTCAGAAGAATTTGAATTTGATCAGCAAATCTCATTAATTTATTCTCTTAAACATTTATTTAGTGGGGGTGGGGTGCCTGTATGGAATTCAAAAACAACTTGTGGGAGTTGGTTCTCTCCCATGAGTTAGAACTCAGCTCATCAGGTTTTATATCGAATTCCTTTAACTGCTGAGCATCTTGTGTGCTCAGTCAGTGCTTCTAAATATGTATATTTTACTGTATGTAAAGTTTGTCAACAATTGAAAACAGTGGCTAAGAGTATATTTTGCACAGAGATTGTTGATGTGAGTCCCAGCACCCATATGATAGCTCACAACCATCTATAAATCCAGTTCCAGGGTATCTGACATACTCTTTGGGTACCAAGAACTCATGTCATACACATAAAATAATATAAAAAAACTTTAAAAATCCATTCAAATGGGAAAAATATTTAAACAGTATTATAATTGAATAATTAAGTGGCTGTTCTTACAATGAAAAAACCATTACTATGTAACATGCTTAAATGAGAATTATGGTAGCAAGAATCTTGGGTATGTGTGGTAGCTATGCTGTGTGGAATTTGGTTGGGAAGAGGAGGGTGATGACTTGACTTTATAGTACCATGAAAGTGATAAGAACAGCATCCTAAACTTGGCGATGGGTGTAGGACAGGTTCGGGAGAGTCTGTTAAGTGGCTTGTAGGATATTGCAAAAGTGATGTGCTAAGGAGCTTGTTGATGCAGAACTGTTGTCAGGTTAGCTGGGAAAGATGGGATCAAATTAGACTCCAGAGATTGGGGAGCCCACTAGATAGTTTCAGGAATATGGAAGAATAAGACATAATAGAACATCTATGCCTAATTATAAATTGGGAACAGAATTAATTTCTTGGAGATGATAAGTTTCTATTGTCTAACAGTATCAACCTTTATTTTTTAGTCTATACTAAGTCAAGAATAAGCTACATATTGTATGGAAATTAAGTAGTGTTTCATATGTATTTATATATTACAACATAAAATATAGTTCAAAGAAAACATTATGCAGGCTGGAGAGATGGCTCAGCTCTGATTGTTCTTCTAGAGGTCCTGAGTTCAATTCCCAGCAACCACACGGTGGCTCATAACCATCTGTAATGGAATCTTATGCTCTCTTCTGGTGTGTCTGAAGACAGCTACATTGTACTCATATACATAAAATAAAAAGTCTTTTTTAAAAAAGAAAGAAAACATTATGCATAGTGTGACAAAACTTCTGAAAAGAGGTTTTCTTCAGTGTGTGACAAAACTTCTGCAGAGACTGAATGACTGACTGACTGGAATTTCCACGCATGATGCCGGAGGAGAGATGGCTGAACTGTTACAAGCTAGGCTCACAACCAAAACATACGAATTTCAGTACTGTGAAAACATTGACTGGAATGTTGCAAGTTCAGAGGCTAATTACTTACTTGGGGCTAGTTTTAGCCCTCTGGAATAGCCATTCCTTGACCATTTCTGTTTCAAAACTAACATTTGTAACAGATCAATAAAAAACCCTTTTTGGAATCTAATAACTCAACAGGCATATATATATATATATCATGTGCCTGAGGTCAGAATAGGGCATTGAACCCTCTAAAACTGAATGAACTATGAACTTATGGATAGTTGTAAGCTACCATGTGGGTTCTGTGAACCTACCTATGTCCTCTACAGAGCAACCAATGCTATTAATCACTGAGCCATCTCTCCAGCTCCACAACCAATGTATTTTAAAATTATCTTGATTTATGACTTTCTTTTATGAAACTATAAAACTTCACGTAACAGCTTCTGTGTTGGAACATGGAATTTGGGATCCTAAATCAGTGTTCCTGGATCATTACTCAAAGATGGCTTCATAACTAATTATCTCTACTCTCTTTAAGATGAGAGCTGTTGTCCTACTCAGTGTTCTATTGCTGTGAAAAGACACCATGACCATGGCAACTCATAAAATGAAGCATTCAACTGGGGCTAGCTTATAGTTCTAGAGTCCATTATCCTCATGGTAGGGAGCATGGCAACACACAGGCAGACAAGGTGCTGAGCAGCAGGAAGAGAGTGCTACTGGGCCTATTGTGGGCTTTTGAAGCCTCAAAGCCCACCTGCAGTGACATACTTCCTCCAACAATCACACTCCTTCTAATCCTTTTCAAGTAGTGCCACTCCTGATGACTAAAATTCAAATATATGAATATATGAGCCTATGGGGCAGTCTTCTTCAAACCACCACAGCTGTGGTTTTTGCATTTATGATCACCACCAAAATATGATGTCATCCTTTGTCTCTCTGTGTGTTTTTTTGCTTCCTTAGATTCCAATGTAATTGCCAATGTTATACTTCAGGACTTACTGGCATATGTGTCTTCAAAACATTCCTATCTCAAAGATCTGCCTCAAAGGCAGCCTCAGAAAATGGACACTGTAGAGTTTGTGGAATTGGAGCAGTTGCAGCCTGATACATTAGTCCATGCAGTACTCAGAGTAGTGGATGTCACTGTATTGACAGGTAAGTATTTTGAGGGCCTCTTTAATTTAGCTTGTAAATACTAATATACAAGCCCATCTTAGTGTCTCAGTCGGTTACTATGATGCATGTGATACTGTGGTCTCACCTAAGCAGAGTAATACCAAGTAAAATGTTTTTTTTTCTTTTCTAGAGGCATTATATAGTTATAGGGAACAGAAGCAAAGAAAAGTTGTGTTAACAGTGGAACAGGCTCAAGGTCGACATTATGTGCTTATATTATGGGGTCCTGGAGCAGCCTGGTATACTCAGCTTCAAAGGAAAAAAGGTAAATACACTGAAAAAAAGCATTTAGCCTATTTATATCTTGGTAAATGATTAATGTTTATTTGTCTGAGGTGCAGAGACTCTGAAGAGATTACAGAATTTGAAATAATAATGATTGAATGCTCCTCTGAAAAGTACTCTTGCTATAATTTTATACTTAAAGCAATGTAGTTATCTAGAAGTCCTTTGTAATTAATGATGACAACAGAAAGGCTTGGATGTTTTCATGTTTACTACACAAGGACATTAGCAAAAAATCCTCTCCTTCAAATAATGTTCTTTTTTAAAAAATGATTTATTTTTTAATAAAGCCATCTTTCTAGCCCCTCAGAGATGTTCTTTAAAATTTTTATTCTGGAGAAGTATGTGTAGTTTAATTTTTTCAGTTGAAGTGTTCTTATAAATCAATTCCTTTCTGTCAGAAGGCAGATGTTATGGGGAAACATTAGGTCTTTGAAGTCACATTTCCTGTTGAATTATTACTATGTTCTGGATTTTTATTCCAGTTCAAAATATGAGCTCTTAGCCATTATAGAATGGTTGCTTTAAAAATATGACCCAGTAGTATGCATGTATTTTAAAAGCACAAGTTAATATTTTATGGTGCATTACATTAAAAGGGATATTTTAATAAATTAGTACAGTATCTTCCTTCACTACTGTGAAATTCTGATTTTAACAATGAGAGGTAGTTTAATTAGTGTTTTTTGAGTTACCTTACTCTGCAAAGTAGTTTAGACATCGATCAACTGATTCATTATTTCAGACTTGGATGAGTTAATGTTGCATTCCAAACTTCTGCCTCAGTGCTTATCTGTAGACAGGATCTGTCTGTCACATTGTCTTTTAATCATTAATAGCGTAACTAGGATTTGAGATAAGTCTGACTTTTATGTTGTGATCAAATAGTGACAGATGTTTGTCCAGTTGTGAAATTGACAAACATGTATTGATGACAGATATGATCACTGACCATTCTATGTCAGCCGTGAACACGAGTTCAGTGCATGCTAAACAAAATGTAGGTCAGAGGTAGACTGGTGTGGTAGCAGAACACATTGTTCTTTTCTTAATATGACTCTTTCTTTAGAGTTAAGTATTATGTGATAATAGGAGAGAATATTGAAAACACGAACATAGGAATTTTGATATAGTTTTTGCCGACTTCACTAATTAATCTTTTTTTTTTTTTTTTTTTTTTTTTTTGGTTTTTCAAGACAGGGTTTCTCTGTGTAGCCCGGGCTGTCCTAGAACTCACTCTGTAGATCAGGTTTGCCTCGAACTCAGAAATCCACCTGCCTCTGCCTCCCAAGTGCTGGGATTAAAGGCGTGTGCCACCACTGCCCGGCAATTAATCTTAAATTTATTTACAACCCTCATCATTTTAAAGTTTCAACATCTGCTTTAATACCTCAAGACAATTTCTTTTAATAGAAAAATTCAGTTTTGAAGGATCATTTAAGTGATAGAACTTCCAGAAACTGTTGTCTTCCTTTTTATTCATTTAGCAGTTCTTGAGTGTATCTCTATCTCAACCTCTGTAGTAGGCACTGGCTTTCACATTCTCTTAAGGATAACAAACATAGCTTCCATAATCAGAAATGATTACCAAGTAGCTGTTTATTCAATACTAAAGATAATGGAATTGATACTTTGGGGAAGAATAAGAAGAAATCCCAAAATTTCATTTCTTTGAAATATGCCTTGCTAGTAGGTTTGCAACAGGCACTAGTCATGGTTTAGATTCTGATGAAGGTACACTAGCAACATAAATCATATTTCTTGAGAGTAATTGTTTGTAATTTCACCACTGGGAGATAGAGGCACAAGGATCAGGAGTTCAAAGCTATTTTTGGGTACATGGTTATTTTGAGGCCAGCCTGAGCTACATGAGACCCTGTTACAAACAAACAAAAGAATAATTAGATGACCATAAAATAATTTATACAGAATCAAATGCTATTTTCATGCAGTTATTTTAAAATGCAGTTTACCATTTTAAATGCATAACAAGTTAAAATAAAGTACTGTCATAATATAGCTAATTAAGCAGAATAATATGAATAATCCCAATTTATATTTGGATATATAGTTGGACATAATTTGGATAATCATATATTATCCAAAGTTAGTTATGTCTACATTTGTAACCCGACTATATCCTAAATCTTCAATTCAAATATGGATTTAAATAGATTAAAAACTTTTCTAATATAACTTCCTCAAGTTTGCCATAACCAATAGTTTACTGATAAAACAATTTAGCTGTCTTACTTACCTGACTTCCTTAGAACCACAAGAACAAAACAGTGTTTAGACACAGTAGCATCTATTCTAACAACTTCAGTAAGGACTGATTTTTAAGTTATTGAGACAAGGACTAGTCCAGACTTGCCTCTGCTCACTAAGTAGTTAAGAATGATCTTGACTTTCTTATCTTCTTGCTTTCACTCTCAAGGGACTGCATTACAGGTGTGCAGCCCCACACTCAGTTTATTCAGTGCTGGGGATCAAACCCAAGGACTCATAAACTTTCTTGTCAAACAATCATATTTCTTGTTTATTCCACTTTAAAATTACAGTAAAGCAAAAGGAGATTTTTCAGTATAACTTTTTTCCTGTAATCAGCTGTAAACTGTTGGTAGAGGACCTGGTTCAGTTCCTAGCACCCACCTAATATCTAATGATGCTATCTGCATAGACTAGTTGACTTACTTGTCAGTTCTGAACAAAAACAAAACAACAAAAGTTGGTTCTTGATGAGGGAATCAGAAAACGTCCATTTCAGTGTCGCTTTAAAAAATTCAACTAGCTAAAAAAATAATAAACTTTATAGATGTCAAAATTGGAATGTGCTAATCTAAAAGGCAGTTGTTTAGGGACCCAAGAAATCATTAGAAAAGATGACAAAGATGGCATCCAGCCAGGTGTAGTGGTGCCCATCTGCAGTTCTAGTACTTGGAGGCAGTGGGAGGAGGAGTAAGAGTTCAGAGCAGCCTGGACTCTAGAGAGAGATTCTCTCAGAAATCTTAAAGTCTGTAGCTTTTAAATTCATTTGCTTTAACACATGGTTATATTTTGTCTTTTTTTCCCAAATTCTTTAATGGTAAAAGTTAGGCTTAGTTGATTTAATTAGGTTAGTCTACTTAATCTGATTCTGAGTGTAGATCCTTTATTTAAATGACTTTTTATTTGTTTTTGTTTAAGATTGTATTTGGGAATTTAAGTACCTTTTTGTTCAGCGGAACTGCATACTAGAAAACTTAGAATTACACACGACACTATGGTCTTCCTGTGAATGCCTGTTTGATGATGATGTAAGAGCAATTTCATTCAGAGCAAAATTTCAGAAAAATACATCCTCCTTTGTCAAGATATCAGACTTAGCAACTCATCTAAAGGATAAGTATTCAGGTAAGATCTTGAGTCATAAAATGTTGCTAGTTTCAATGTAAGCAAAGAGGCTACTACTTGTGAGAATATATATAATTAAATATGAAAGTGAAATGTAGATCTCTGTAAGTAGCTAAACCAGATATTGATTTCTCAGTCTTTTGATCACCTAATGTTTTTTATGTATAATTGTGTTTTTGCCTTTGTATATCATTATGTAGCTTATCCTGGTTTCCAGCTCATGATCCTCATGCTCACAGCCACTCACTCCATGGCTGGGATTACAGCTGTATACCACCATGTCAGGCTTTGAAGTTTTCATTGTTGAAAAGTTTTTACTATGAATTCAATGTATTTAATAAATACAGAGCTATTAAGATTATTAACTTGTTGAGTGAATTTTGGTTTGTAGTTTTCAGGAAATTTGTTCATTTAAATTATTGATGTAGCAGGGCTGGAGAGATGGCTCAGCGGTTAAGAGCACTGACTGCTCTTCCACAGGTCCTGAGTTCATTTCCCAGCAACCACATGGTGACTCACAACCATCTGTAATGGGATCTGATGCCCTCTTCTGGTGTGTATTCACATGTGTAAAATAAATAAATCTTAAAAAAATATTGACATAGCAAAAATTATTGATAGGAAGTCATTTTTTTACTATCCTTTTGAATATTTATAGAATAGGTAATACTATTGATCTTATCTGATACTAGTAATTTGTGTCTCCTTTTTTTAAAATTTTTATTCATTTTATTGATTGCAGTCACCTTTTAGTGATTTTTTCCCCCTGTTTTCTCTTTTATTCACTTCTGCTCTAATTTGCATTACTTCCTTTTTCCTACCTACTTGGCTTTTGCCTTTTCTTATTTAAGATGGAAATTGAGACAGTACCCCGCCACACACCCCGCCACTAGTGTCCCATGAATTTCACTAGTCATGTTAATTCATATGTGTACTGTGTTGATTAACCTTCATTGTCAGCTTGACTGGATTTAGACTCACCTAGGTGGCATAACCTCTGGATGTACCTGTGTACCATAGAGGTTTAACTAAGGAGGGAACACACACCCTGAATGTAGGCAACACCATGCAGCCTATGGGCTCAAGTCCTAATTAAGTAGAAATGGAAATAGGAGACCTCAAGCTGAACAACAGCATCCGTCTTCTAGAGGATTCAGTGTGTAAACTGCCTCGCTCCTATGATCATGCTTTCCCTTATATGGTGGATTTCATTCTTCAAATTATGAATCAAAATAAACTCATGGCCTCTGTTGGCAGTGTGGGCCAATCAGATTAACATGCCACCACCCCCATCAACTTCAGTGAGAGCACTGCCCTCAGACTTCCACATGGTCTCCTGTGGTAGCCAAGACATGGCCCTTAGCCTAGGCCTGGACCTCCCATGGCCTTCTCATATCCTCCTGTTCCTCATTGCCATTGCCGTTGAGTCTCCAGTCCTACCTTTCTCCACAGTGTACAGACCCCTCTGCTTCTCTTCTCTTCCATCTCTTCACAGAGTGCTTCCTCTTTCCCATCTCTCCATCACACGTTGGCTCATTGTAGTGGCGCCTGCTGCTGGTGCATTGGTGTCTTTCTTCTGGCCTCCCCATTTGAAACCTAGAATTAGACTTAAAAATAAACAATCTCACAGAAGTCAACAAAATAGACCACAGAACCCCATGATTAGTGGTAGCAAAGAGACAATTTCACTAGCTTGGGGATGATGCCGAGTACTGGGAATGTACTTGGAAATTTTAAGGATGTGTTTTCCATTAGATACCAAAACTGTTGTAGCCAGTCTTTGATAGGTTGTACTCAAAAGGCCCCTAAATTTAACCCTTTTCATTATCTTATGGTCAACTACAAGGACAGAACTCATTCTTTCTGTCATTGTTTGTTTTAAATATGAAAATAGAAAGAGAACATGGAGGGACAAATAACTCTTCCTAGTCTGTCGTTGTTGTTATTATTATTATTTTAAGTTAAATAAGGGCTAGAGAAAGGGGCTATCACACTAGGGAGATTTCCCAAGAGGGTCTGCTTGCTGACAAAAGCTGGAGAAAGATGGTCCCTTGTAAAGAGCTGAAGACACCCAGTCTCTCCTATAAGAAGCAGAATTTGAGTGCCTAGAATTCTAGAATGCCCCTGAAAGCAAAGTCCACTTTTAGAATGGCCTCTTAATTTTTCAAATAGGTAGGCAAATATGTAAGATGACAGAATTATATGGACAGTCTTCTGAAATAATTGCACTTCTCGTTAATTTTGTGTGTGATTGAACATGTCTGTGGATAAGGACAATGTTGTATCTGCTACAGCTTCTTAAATATGTGACCACTTATTAAATACCCATTTATACTAAGTCATGTAGAGATGTGTGCCTGAATAGAAGAAATGATGAAAGCATCTTAGTCCCAAGACAAAAGCAAATGAAAGACATCAAGGAGAGTCGCCACTGTTGAGTTCCAAAAGAGGTGGTCAGAAAATAGGACAAGGGCTAATGTGGGGCATCCTGGTCTATCCTTTGTAAGAGGACTGTGATGGCTACTCTTGATTGCCGACTTGTTTGGATTAAAAAGGACTAGGAAGTTAGTGAAGTGCACCTCTGCATGAGTCTTCAGGATATTTCCAAAGGCAATAAACTATTCTGACTATAGGAGTCAGCATCTTGTAGGCTGGGGGCCCAGATTGTAGAAAAGGGAAAGGAAAACTCCATCTAGCACCAGCCACCTCTCTCTGCTTCCTGGCTGCTGTGGTGAGAGCTGCCTTGCTGTGCTGTCCTCCTCCACCATGGCTTCCCTGACACCTCTGAAACCAGGAGCCCAAATATATCTCTATGCTCTTACATTATGTCAGAAGCTTTGTTTTAGCGACAAAAAACTGATTAATAGAAGAGCAAAGAATAAATCTGAAGGCTTAAAGAAATCCTTAAATGAGTATAGAGTGAAGAGTCATGTTCAAACAGATTCATAAGCTATGTTAGTATGCAGAAAGGCAAAAGTAAGTTAGGATCAAAAGATCATAGTAAATGTAGTGGATATTCAATCTGTATTTAGTAGATAAATACATTGTCAGTTAACATGGTCGAGGTTACAGTTAATGACAAAAGAAATCACACCCCCACCATCCCCACCACCACTCTTAATTCCTTTTTGAATGGGAACCCAGAACTCACTCAGCTGCAGCAAGTCCTCCATTTCATTCTAGGTTCTATATGGAAACCATAAGTAAGTTGAGATTCTGTAGGAAGGGATGAATTCCAAGAATCAGACCTTGGTGTAGCTTATACTGTAAGTGACTGCAAATGAACCATATTGCTAGCTGGGTTTGTCAATTAAAATTATTGTTGAATCAAATAATTATAATTATATTATCTCTCTCTCTTTTTTTTTTGTTTACATAGGAGTGGTTCTGATTAAAGCCAAGGTTTCCGAGCTGGTGTTTTCTGCTGCAGCGGCTCAGATGATAGCTCTGAGTGCTCACAGCACTCTGAAGAGCATCTTCTCGTCTCTTCCTAATATTACCTATGCTGGCTGTGCACACTGTGGGTCGGAACTAGAGACAGATGAGAACAGGATCTACAGACAGTGTCTGAGCTGCTTGCCGTTAGCTGGGAAGAAAATGTTCTATAGGTAGGGCAGCAACGTATGATATTTTGTTGGTTTGATAGACAGTATTTATTGCATAGAACTGGACGTGACTAAGAACGGCCGATGCCGATCCTTTATAGTATAACTAACAAGAGCTTACGAGGAGAGTAAAATTTCTGAGTGAAACCAAGAGTTTTTCAGTAATGAGTCAGACTATTTTAAAGAGGTAAGTAGATCTTACTTTCTTTAAAGAGCCATACTGAAGACTGCTCACGTCTAACCGCTGGCTAACAGTTTCATCCGTAACTCATTTCCCCATTGTGGGATGTTATAATGACAACGTAAAGGTTAAAGCCTTCTGTGGCCTCTCGGGTTGTTTGCCGAGGCTGGACAATATTTGTTTAGCCTTCAGTGCTTCAGTTTCCCATCTTTACTTTAGAAGTGAAAGATAAGCTAGTTAATGTATGTTCTCTGGTGAAACTGGTAACAAGCTTGCTCAGTGAAAAGCACACTGCTTTCAGATCAGTGTTCAGGGTCTTGGATAATTGTTCTTTAGAATCATAAAATTGCAGTCCTTTACAAAGGACTGGAAGTGACTCATGTTTCATGTCCTTTCCTATTATTTATAAATATTGAAATATCTCAAAAGGAAACACATGTATATTCAGTATTTTTGTTTTGTTTATTTATTTTTGTGTTGTTTTAGATAGGGTTTTGTTACGCAGCCCAGGCTGGTCTCAAACTCATAATCCTACATCAGCTTCCTAGGTGATGTGCACGTGCGTGCCTTCATATCCATCTGCATTCAGCAGGTCATTTGTCGTGGCACACATACAGGTAATGTAGAGAAGTGAGGTCAGGAAACCTTATGTCTCTGTACAGATATGTGTGTTTGTTAGAAATAAGTGAGTAAAGTTGGGTGTGCTACTGCCCATGGGCAGCCCTAATGACAGGAGGCTAAAGTAAGATCTCACGGGCAAAGCCAGCCTGGAATACGTAGCAAGGCCTTGTTGTAACAACAACAAAATGAATAAAATTAAACAAATAAAAACAAGTAAGTGAATGAATTTTACTTTTTTTCCTTATTTTTCAATCCAGATTATTGAACTTAGGGCCTTATTCTAGGCAAATGCTATATGTAATTCTCTTTTACCTTTTATGTTGAGACAAGGTCTTGCTGTATTGCCCAGGTTGACCTCCTTGAACTTACTTTGTAGCTCAGGCTAGCCTTAGAGTTTGATCTTCCTATGTCAGCCTCTCAATTAACCAAAGTCCTGTGCCACCAGGCCTGACCAGAAGTTCACTATTGCTTTGTAGATTGCTAAGGAGATTAAATTAAGGTTCATGGTTTACAACAAACATAATTAAATGGACTTATTAAAAGTTAAGGCCTTCAAAATGAAGTATAGTTGATCCATTTTATACAATATATTTAGGGGTGATGGGATAGGGTCTCGCTATGTAGCCCAGGCAGGTCTCATATTCATGCCTTGCAATTTGTAGTTAATCGTACATTGTCTTTTAAAAATATTTTAATTGAGCAATAAGTCATGTGCCATCATATTTGTTAACTCACATATTGCATGTGCACACATGCCCTCCATGCACACACAATAAAATATTTAAGAACTTTAACTATAAAATTCAATGATTGTAGTGCATCCACAGGATTGCAGACCTATCATCATAACCAAGTCTACTACTTTTAAACATAATATACCCTATAAAAGCCCCACACCCATTAACAGTCATTCTGTTCTTCACAGTGGAAACTGCTAACCTACTTTCTGTTGCTATAGATTTGCCTGTCCTGAGCATTTCACACAAATGAAATTTTGTAGTGTGGGCTCTTTTGTGACTTGCCTCTCAGCAGAGTGTTTTCAAAGTTCGTCCATGTTATGGACTATATCAATACTTTAAATTTTTTTTAAAAGTTATTGTCATTATTATTGTCTGTGATGTTTATGTGCCCATGCCATGGGACATATATGGATGTCAGAGGACAGCTTTGTGGAGTTGGTTTTCTCCTTCTGTGGCGCCCCAGTTAGCTTTCTGTTGCTATGATAATCAACACTATGACCAAAAGCAACTTGGAGAAACAAAGGTCTTTTGCAGTAGTTCTCAATCTTCTTATGCTGTGAACCTTAAATTCCTCATGTTGTGGTAACCTCTAAAATAAAATTACTTCATTGCTACTTGATAACTTTATGCTACTGTTATGAATCACAGTATAAATATCTGATGTGTAGAATATCTGATATTCATTCCCCAAGGGAGTCACCACCTACAGGTTGCAAACCACTGGTCTATTGAATTATATGCTTCCAGATAACAGATCATCATTAAGGGAAGTCAGGTGAGAAACTCAAACCAGAGCAGAGGTAGAAACTATAGAGGAAAGCTGTTTATTGGCTTGCTCCCTAGCCTCTGCCCAGGTAACTAACTAGTTTATTGGTTTCCTTCCTTCCTTCCTTCCTTCCTTCCTTCCTTCCTTCCTTCCTTCCTCCCTCCCTCCCTCCCTCCCTCCCTCCCTTCTTTCTTTCTTTTTTTCTTTTTTAGTTTTTCGAGACAGGGTTTTTCTGTGTGGCTCTTTTTGACTTGGAACTCTCTTTGTAGACCTCAATCTCACAAAGGTCCACCTGCCTCTGCCTTCCAAGTACTAGGATTAAAGGCATGCACTACCATGCCCAGCTAACCAGGTAACTTTCCTATACAGCATGGGACCCCTGCCTAGAGACAGACTCCCCCAGACATGTCCCCAGACATATCTGTAGCGCATAGACCAATCTGATTAAAACTCAGGTAACTCTGGGCTGTGTCAAGTTGACAGCTAAAACTAAGTAGGAGACACGGATTCAAGACTTACACAGCAAGTACCTTTATCCCCAGATCCATCTTGCTGACCTTAAAATTTTTCATACAAGTGTTTTATTACTTGTTTAATTATTAGATAAATATTTGAGTTTGGCTTCATACTAGATACTTTCTTTGAGTTATTTTACTTTGAAAACTAATGTAAATAATATCAAATTAATGAGAAAATAAATAAAGCTTTCTTTATTACTCATTTATTAAAAGTAACTGAATTATATATTTTTTTGTCAGTTTTACTGTGTATTAAAAGTATTTCAGAAGAGAGAACTTTATCTGTATATTTACATATTTACAGTTACATGTGAATCTTTATATTTATATGTCTATAGTGTGTACATCTGTATCAATCTTAATCTCCTTGTTGAAAACCACTTTGTTCCAATAATCTTGATAGCTTATATTATATAACCATATTATCAAGAAAATTTCTTGTCTTTTCCCCTTTGAAGAAACAGTTGCTATTTCCCCAAAGTATATTGGCAGCATCGTCACACTCTTGTTGAGCCTTCCTCTCTGTGATTTCACATTTTGGCCTTTGTTTTGTTGTTGTTTTAATTTATTTAATTTTATGTATATTTTATGAGTATTTTCCCTACATGTATATGCACTAGGTTTGTGCCTGGTTCCTAAAAAGGATGTAGATATCCTGGAACTGGAGTTGTGTCTGGTTGGAAACCAAGCAACAAGTACTCTTAACCCCTGAGCCATCTCTCCACCCCTAGCCTCTGCTCTTTTGTGATGGGGTCTGATATGATTGTCCCTGGAATGTCATCTTTCTCTCATGGAATTGGTTGGTGGCTGAAGTCTTGCAGTGGATATTAGATTTAAGGCCTGGAAGGTCATGGAGCCTTGGTCATAAGCAATGGAACAGGCTCCTTCTGAAGAGAAGCCTAAGACAATGTTTTATAAAGTCTAGGCCTAGAAACAGCCAACTAAGAGATGCTAGACTAGGTGGAGTTGGTCATACCCTGTCTGGGTATGGCAGTGGTTGAAACTGGCACAGTTGGTTTGGCAGGACCCTCCAAACATGTGTTAGCTGGAGCTCATTGAGATGGATTGACTGTGGTAGGCTGAGCTGGGCTGGAATGTGGCCAGGCCAAATAAGCTGCTGTGGGTCTCCATGAAACCAGAGACAGTGGCCTTTGAGATATAGGTAATGCTTGAGGCTTGTTCAGGGCCAGGAGAGGCAAAGGTACTAACTTGATCTTCCCAGATGGGGGCAGCTCTTGCTGGAATGAAGAGGGACACTCCTTTTCAGCACAGCTCTCTTGTTTGGGCTTCAATGGGGTTTCTCAGGACCTTACTCCTCAGGTGGGATTCCCAGCTATGATTTGACGGCTGGGTTGGCTGGAGTTCTTTTGTTTCTCAGAGCCTGGGAGGAGAGATTGAAGTTTTCTTCTCACTTTTCATTTCAGTGCATGAAAGACTTGCAGTGGTCTCAGTGTGTGCATGTCTCAGTGACTTCAAGTCTGAAATCAGATGGATTCCTTTCCTCTTTGTCTTGGGAATGGTCCACTTTTCATCTGCCTTGACTTTGTTCCTTGACTGCTGACACTCTTGGTCCTTAGAGTTGTTTTCTCTGGTCCTTTTGGTCTTCTCTTTTCCATAGCCAAAGAGCCAAGCAAAGACAGCCTTGCAACTTGACTGTCAGACCTTGGCTGTGTTCAGCACTGCCCATAGCTACTTCTCCATCACACACACTGGGTCCTGGTACTGGGTTTTGGTCTGAGCAGTTCTATCAAGAGGCTCAGAGGCCAAAGGCCTTATCTTTGTTCTTTCTGAGCTGATCAGAGGGGCCCCTTATAACATTTGACTTTTCCTGTACCCAGTTTACCTCAATGGCTGTTGTGTGATCTTCCTTTTTTTTTGGGGGGGGGGAGGGGTGGCAAGTCCCAGGTTTATTTTGAACTTGTTGTGTAACTGAGACTCAATGGCTTCAACTTCTGATCCTCTTGCATGTACTTCCCATGTTCTGTATTATAGGTGTGTATCATCATGCCTGGTTTCTCTGGTTCTGAGACTTGAATCTAGGGTTTTTGTATGCTAGGCAAGCATACTAACTGAGATACATCCTTAGCACAGTACTTTGTTTTTATTGCAAAGTAATATTCTATTATATGTGTATCTAATTTTATTCATCCATTATAAATTGATGAACATTGGAGTTGTTTTCTCCTTGGGGCTGCTGTGAACATGTGTGTACATGTTTTTATTCAGACATAGTTTTCAGTAATTGGGGTGCACATTCAGGAAAGTATTTGTTGTGTTGTATGACACACTTGGCCAAGCTGTTTTCCAAAGCTGTTGTGCTATTTTACATCTTACTAGGAAGCAAGATGAAGGTCAATCTCTCTTTACATCCTTGCTACTGTGTTAGGTCTTATGTTTTAATTTTTGTTCCTGGAGTTTTTGGTGTCTGATATAAGAAAGGTGCCTCTCTCAAGCCGAGATCATGGAGATTTATACTTATATTTTCTTTCAAAGGTTTTAATAGTTTTAGCTGTTATATTTAGGTTTGTAATTTGCTCTGTGTATTGACTTCCTTGTGTGGTATAAGGAAGAAATCCAATTTCCTTCCAGTGCATATTGATATATGCATGTTCTCGCATGATTTTTAAAATATTTGTTCTACTAATTTTTAGGTTAGCATACAAAGCAATGGATTCATCATGGTTTCTTCCTACATTTGTGTCATTACACTTTGCTCTCATATGTCTCTTTCCCTGCATGCCTTCTCATGCAGTTCCAGCTGCTTCACTTTCTTCATCCAGTCAGTCCTCCTTCTGCTTTTATAAAGACAATATTTACAATCTCATCTGGAATACTCATAGTATAGGTAATTACATATATAGGATACATACAATTTTTCACATGGGTTCTCCATATAAATGAAATATGTGATATTTGTCATTCGGAATCTGGCTTCTTTTATTTAACATGATTTCTGATTGTATGCTTTTTCCTGCATATGTGTCCAGCATGATTTATTGAAAAGGTTATTTTGGCCCACATTGAGTCATCTTGGCAACATTATATACAAATATATATATATATATATATATCTATATATATATATATATATATCGAATCTTGGAGTTAGATGTAAAGGTCAGTGGTGCAGCGTTTGACCAACATGCATGAGCTCTTGGATCGGATCCCTAGCACCAAACCAAAAAAAAAAATCCCAACCAGCTAGCCAACTAGTTAACCAACCAACCAACCAGCCAGCCAGAACAATAGCAACAACAAAATAAAACAAAACACACACACACACACACACACACACACACACACACACACACACAGAGAGAGAGAGAGAGAGAGAGAGAGAGAGAGAGAGAGAGAGAGAGAGAGAGAGAAAACCCCTTTCCTATCAGATTCCCTTGGATGAAGGAACCAGATAACCAGATTTATCTTGTTAGGAGTGTACCCAGCATTAGCATGTAATAGAGACTCAGTTGGTATTTGTTGAAATAAAGAATGGCAGAGAAAAGAAAGCAAGAGAGAGAATAAGAGCAAACGGGAGACAGACACAGAGGCAGTCACATTTTGTCTTCACTAAATTCCTTTCTATTTATGAATCTGATTCTAAGTTCTGTTGTTTATTTTGTAGGCCGGCTTTAATGACCATAGTTGATGGAAGACATAGTACTTGTGTCCATGTTGGGTCAAAGATGATGGAGCAGATTCTTCTCAACATTTCTCCAGATTGCCTCAACAGAGTGATAGGTAAAACAGAAACACCATCCAGCAGTTGTTCTATGAACCATTCGCAGGAGCAGTCGGAGCATAAAGAGTACAGTGCTGCAAATAAAGCAGTTCCCCTGTCAGTATAAAAGTAGGAAGGTAGTTTAGTTTGAGTGAGACATAGAAGCATACATATGTTGGAAAGTGAGATCTCATTACTTCTGTCTCGTACATGAATAAAGGAAGCACCTAATCGCTTTAGCCTAGATTCCTAATTGTTCAGCAAAAACACTAGGATCCTAGTCTGGTAATAGTTAAAAAAGGAGTGTGTAGCACCATGTATTGAAATTAATCTATGATTGGATTTTTAAGATCTTCAGCTGCAGTGCCAGAGACAGTTAGAGACTAAGAAGAAAGCAAACACTTCCCACCTATTAGATGATCATGCTCCATGTGTGCCCTCATTAGCCACAGACTCCTTAAGTGGACAAGCTAATCTAGTTCTTTTGTTTGCTTAATTTTGTAATAGTGAGTTGCTTTTTGTATTAATAAAAAGTTGAACATCTAATCTAAAAATAGAAAGCATAATAAATTTCATGTTTAGATTTGAGTCTTATCCCTAAGATACCATGTTATGTATATACAAATGTCTGGAGTATTTGGGTTTTTGTTTGTTTATTTTTAAATCTAACATCCCAGAACATTCTGGTCCCAAGAACCTCAGTTCATAGGTGCTCAGCTTGTATATATACTCTTATGGTTAAAACTATAAAGCAATAAGTGTGAGGCCCCTTTTAATATGGACACACCCTTTTTAAAAATTTATTTTTGCCGGGCAGTGGTGGCACACACCTTTAATCCCAGCACTTGGGAGGCAGAGACAGGTGGATTTCTGAGTTTGAGGCCAGCCTGGTCTACAGAGTGAATTCCAGGACAGCCAGGGCTACACAGAGAAACCTTGTCTTGGAAAAAAAAAAAACCTGAAAAAAAATTTTATTTTTATATTTATTTTATGTGTTTGAGTGTTGAATTGAGTGTAAACACTGAAACACCAGAAGAGGTTAAAAGAGGGCATTAGATTCCCTAGAACTAGAGTTAGGAATGGCTATGAGCTGCCATGTGGGTGCAGGGAATTAAACCCAGGTCCTCTGCAAGAACCAGTGCTCCTGACTGTTCCCAAAGACATGGCCTTCTTATTTCAGGCAAGACCAAACCTCAGTTCCTCAGGTATTTAGAAGCTGATGGCTGGAGCTGCTGTCAGTCTGGGCATTGTTTGTGCTTGCTTTCCTGCTCTGTAGGAAGCACACCATCTTTCTAGACTACCTTCAACAATTTGATGCTAGAAAGAGAGGTGTAGAACAAGAAATGTAAGATGTATGTCTGTGAAGCTTGAGGGACCAAGGGAGACAAGGAAAGCCTTCAGAATGTGTTTCTGTGCAGCCAGTGGGGTCCTGAGTGGCATCTGTGCTCTGTTCTTCCTCAGTGCCTTCCTCAGAGGTCACCTTTGGCATGGTTGCTGCAGACCTGCTCCACTCCTTGTTGGCAGTCCGTGCAGAACCTTGTGTGATGAAGATCCAGAGCCTTTTCGAGTTGGATGAAAACAGCTACCCACTGCAACAGAATTTCTCCCTACTAGATTTCTGTCCTGACTCATGTAAGATGTGGAGCCCAGGACTTTCTTTAAGGCCAGAGGAGGACACAGGGGGCATTCCTAGGAAGGAGTGACGAAGCAATCTGTCTTTTGAAGATGTATTTATTTTTATTATATGTATATAAGTGTTTTGTCTGTGTATGTCTGTGTGTCATGTATGTACTTGGTGCCCACAGAGGCCAGAAGAGGGTGCTAGATCCCCTGGGACTAAAGTAATAGATGGCTGTGAGCCGCCATGTAGATTTTGAGAAAGTGCTCTAAACTGCTGAGCCATCCAACCCTATGATGTATCTTTTGAAATGAATGAAATGACAGGGATTTTGCTTAGAGTTTTTAAAAATAGCTTATTAGCATAATATAATTGTACTAAATATATAAATTATTTTTAAGAAAATTCTGTGAAGTTTTTATTATTTGCTTTTCTGTTGTTGGTATTTTTTTTATTCTGGAGGAATAATCTAGCAATAAAGGTAATATATCACAGTTCCTTTGGAATTCTGGATCCCTTATTTGGGTTTCATTTAGACCCTGATGCATCAAGGCACTAAATATTGGAGATCTGCGTTTAAAACATCTCCTCAGTGTTGGGAGCGACCTTGCTTATACATTAATGGCCTAAGTCAGCCATAGGCCTAAATCAGCCATACATGCCTACTGACACAAAGTCTTGGTCTCTGTGGGAAAGCACTAACCCTAGAACTATAGATAGCTATAGATCTTGTAGACAAGTAGCCCTGGTGAGAAAGTACCAGCCTAGATAAGAACAAATAATCATAGATCTTATGGATAGGTAGCTTTGGTGGGAAAGTACTAACTTAGATAAGAATAAATGACCAATAGATCTTATGGACAGGTACATAGTGACCTGTTCTGCCCTGCTGCTTCTGTGAACTTTTCACCCAGCCAATAAAAGATATCTGTACTGAAAGATATCTGTACTCCCCCTGAGAACGCCTGCGCTCCCTAGAAACCAAGGAGACCCTATGTCATCCCCCTCTCCACATCCTGCTTCTATGTGTATATAACCCCCATGTGGAAAAATTAAAATTTGACAGCTCAATCAGACTTCTATACCTGCTGTCTGTTTCTTGCATACCCCTGTTCCCCCATTCTCTCTTTCAGGTGGTCCCCCAGTCCTAGTCCACTCCCCTGCTGGATGGGGCACCTCAGCACTCAACTTTATGCTATAAACTGAATTGCTTTCTTTCATTACAACTGTCTTTGCTGGGCTAGGGATGCAGTGCAGTTGGTAAAGTCGCGGGCGTGGTCATATCCATCGTTGTCCACCATTGACACTTTACTCTTTGGCTCCTGGCCCCTGGTCTGTCCTGCAAATTCTCAGCACTGTATGAAGTCTCTTTCTGGGACTTCAAGCTTCCTCTCTGGCTAAAACTAGGGCACCTACCTTTTCATCTTTAGCATGAAACTTCAGGAGAAATTTCAATTCCTTGCTATCGAGTGTCTCAGTGTTCAGATAGCCAAAGGGAGGGGCACAAATGCTTCTATTTAGAGTATTGTGACTCCTGAAGTAATATTTAGTTAATTGACTGGATTAGTATTGTGAAAATGGCTGTAGCCCTGAAAGCAAGCTACAATATTCAATGTAGCCCTTAGCAAAATCTCAGTGAGTTTCTATGTAGAAATAGAAGAAAAGCAATCCTCAAATTCATATGGAACAAAAGCACCTTTGGGCAAAGCCTCCCCTGAGGGAAGAGCAGTGATGAAGGAAGCACAATGTCTGACTTCAGATTTTACCACAGAGCCACAATGACAAAAGCAGACATGTAGGTGAATGGAGTTAAATAGAGGATGCAGAAGTCAACCCTGGCAGGTATGGAATAGTTCAAGGACATACACCACAATGTGTATGGCGTTCTTGTCAACAGATGGTCCTGGGAAAACCAGATAACCACGTGAGAAAAATTCTCTTAGCCAGTACAGAGGGGATTCAAAATGGATCAATACCTCTAAGATCTGAAACTTTGAAAACACAAGGAAAATACTTCCAAAATAGAGACACAAGCTAGGACTTCCTGGCACCTTTGGACCAGTATGGCTGTAGAAGGTTGGGCCTCATGAAAAGGACTCCAGTAGCTCAGGAAGTAAGATCAAGAACTGACAAATGGGACTTCAGAGAATTTTAAAACTTCTGTGAAGCACAGAGTAAAGTGACAGCATACAGGACAGGAGAGAAATTGTCAGCTGTGTTTTGGACTTGAGATTACTATCTAGAACAAAGAACAACAAACAAAATCAACAAATGACAAATAAACAGTTCTCAAAGGAGTACAAGGACCCAGGTGGTGGTAACACTCGCCTTTAATCCCAGTGCTCAGGAGGCAGAGGCAGGCAGATCTCTGTGAGTTCAAGGCTAGCCTGGTCTATAGAGAGAGTTCCGGGACATCCAAGTGGTCTGTATGTCTAAGAAGAAAATATTCAGCATCTCTACCCTTCAGGGACATGCAAATAAAAACTATAGTCAGAGTCCATCCATCCCAACCAAAGGAGACAAACTGCAAATACTGGTGGGGATGTAGGGAAAGAAGAATCCTTACACACCAGGTAACAGCTCCAAACTAGAGTCCATAAGCATTAAATAGACAACAGCATCATACCATTCACGGGAGGGTATGTATCCCTGACACACAAGAAGAGTCACGCTCAAAGCATAGTGTGAAGGGGGCAAACAAAATAGCACTTTTTCTCATTCCTTAGATAATGTATAATGTTGTACATTACATATATTTAGATGTTATGTGCCTATATATTATATAATGCTTGATCAGGCTATAAAAGCCAAGAATAACTGCTGTAGAAATCAGACAGAAAGAGGCAGTGCTTGGGAAGGGCCACTCTGGAAGGTTGGCTTTTTGTGGGTGCTCCTTTAGATCCAACCTGCACCACTTGCTCTGAGGTAAGGGCCATTCTAGTGAGTGGCCATAGTGTAGCCACCATGATGCTAAACACTAGAGGGCAGTGGAGACGCACCACAGAAGGCCGTGCTGCTATCCCAGGTTGAGCTGGAAGCCACACCAGAGTGTCCCATCCTCTGGGACCACTAGTGGGGCTCAGCCAGTCTCAGTCACGTGCCTACTCCCTCCTGACCTGGACACTAAGTGCTCTAGGCTGGGTCCCTTCGGTGGACCTCCTTTGCTCACTCACTCCAGCCTGAAAGTTTGTCAATCAGCAAACGAATGCAATCCCAAACCAAGAGAGCCAAGGTGGTATTTGCCAGATTTCCTTCTTCATCATTACTGACAAACAGTTAATTTACACAGAAACGTGGGAGGGAGGTAGAAGTTTAAGGAGAAAGACGGGAGGAAGATTTTACCTTCCACACACACCCTGACTGCAAAGTACCGAAGTTCTGAGCTCTCTGATGAGAGGGAATACTGATAGCATCTCGGGCACCTGGAATCTGATTCCAGCTCCAGTGCTGCTCTCTTGCTGCAGGGTACTGGGAAACAGCACACCTCCTTTCTGTTCTACTTATGGGAGGGAGATTTCTCCTGGGCTCCAGTGCAGCTTTTTCCTGCTGATGTACAAAACCTTATTCAATTCCCAAGAGATAGTTCCTTCCTCCTTTCCACAATGAAACACAATTCCTAAAAGCAAACTGATTTGAGCAAATCATTCCTTCCATAGTAAGTATTAGGGAACTATAATGGGCAGGTATTATAGTCTGTTTTTAAAATTGCATGCTAAATTCAATGAAGAGATTTGTCAATTATGTGGGAGGAGCTGAGCGTATGGAATCTAATCAGTGAATTATTTCATTATGTTTTTCTAGTTAACTATTCAGAGCCTTTTAGTAGATTGCTAGCTTCCCCCTGCTCCTTGGATTAAACACTTAGAACAATACCATGACTTCCTTTTCTTTCTTTTCTTTTTCAGTATTGGGACTGCTTTGATCACCATGAGTATTAAGTAAATAAAATAGAATTCCTCTGGTAGCTTCTCGAACCACAGATAGTGTCGAGTGTGACAGGCAGCCACACGTGCAGCATTCAGCTACAGCTAACTCGCTGCCTGGATCCTGGGGCTCGGTCTTGTGCTTCTGTCCTTCCCCCCCATCCCCTCTCCCTTTCTCAGGTGCATGGTCACCCCAGAAGGATCCTGAACATGGTAAGGTGGAGGATCACCTGAGGGGAGGAAGCTCTAGCTGATGTGAGCTGCAGTACTGAGTGCTTCTACAAGGTCTTTTCAGTGAGGTCTTCCCTGCCATTCTGTGACCTTGTTTTGCTGCAGTGTTCATCGGCAGCAATACCATTCTAACCCCTTTACAATTTTTTTTTTTAAAGCAGGAGATTGCCTTTGTCTGGAAAAGGAAGTCAGTTTTGAAAATATGTTTCTCCTACTCTCTTATGAACAGAATTCTGGGTAAATTCTAATTCTAAGGTGCTCAAGGGAGACCAGAAAGTAGCAAGAAAATAACAAATAATCTCCCTTCCTCTGATAATTATCCTCTGACAGTTATGAGCCAGGATGCTCATGGATCTTGAAGTAATTTGGGTAGACATTCCAAGTAAGAAAAGCATAATTGGCAAATGACTGCACAAATTACAACACATCATTATGGGATGCCAAATTGGCAGCTATGACACTGAGGCCAGGAGGCAGCTGCAGGAAATGCTGTCCCCCAGGGATGCCCCTTCAGGAGAGCACAGGCCCCTGGAGCTGCCTCACATTACCCCTCAGATTCTTCACCCCTCCCTGGAGCTCTGTCCATTGTTCTGTAGCTTTACAAAAAAGGAATGTCTACTTCTCTACCCTGGATTTTCAGCTTGGCCATATGGTTTGCCTTGGCCCAGGAATATCTGGGAGGGGGGCACCATATAAGTAGAAGACAAAAATATGCCCTCCTGTGTTTCTGCCTCCACCTTGACAAGGGCTGTCTCTGGGTTGCTGGTGCTCAGTGTGAGCAATCGTGACACTGACCAGGTAAGGAGCCCAGCCATCCAGACCCACGGCTTGAGAACAAGTTGCCGTATCTGGGGCAGTTCATGCTCGGCCGACCCACAGATGCAAATGTTCATACTGTATACACTGAGAACCCGTGGCCATCTGATTGCACCATCATTACCGCACAAAGAGCCAACCGAAGACAAGCAGCTCACCCACTTGCTTTGACTGAGGGTTTCCTTGAATCCTAGTTCTCCTGTCTCTACCTACCAAGTTGCTGCCATTCTGCCACCCCATACCCCACCAAGCTGGGCCTTCTTTTTCTGGGAAAGGACTTTTTTTTTTTTTTTTTTTTTTTTTTTTTGCTAGAGGCAGACAGACATTCACACTAGCAACAAGGGGGAAGCTGACTGAAACAGACCTTTTTAAAACGAGCCACCACATCAGAAGCAAAGCACAGGGATGAAGTAGCTTCTGAGAACCACATTGCTTTTCAGGAACTTTCTGATTTTGAATGAGAAGCTGAGGATGTGGACAGAGTCACCGCTAACAGCAGCAGAGGCTGTAGCGTCTCTGGACCCTGGGAGATGAGAAGCTGGAGACAAACAGTACCAAGGCTGCTGAGCCCAGATAGACCCAGCTGAACTATGAAAGTTGGGAGTTTGGGGTAATGTCATAACTCTTTTAGAAATTGGAGTCAGAACCCACAGACGAAGAACTCTTGTTTGGATTCCTTGAAGAAGGACACTCATCATTCTTCGAAACCTGACAATTGGTTTGCCATGCTTAGTTTAAATAATGATGGTACCCATTCATGCTTCCCCATATAGTATTCCCATATGTACATAGTCATGGGACACCCCCTTTCCTGCTGTCTTGTAGATTCAGAATTTTTTCTTTGTTTTCTTGACTTTGTGGTAAGCAGAACACTGATGTTATTTTCTTATGATGAGTAATTGCTCATCCTTAAAGAATTCTGCCCTTTATGAAAGTTAGTTACATCGATTGGTAATTAAATTTAATGCTGCCCCAGTATAACCAGGTTGTTGTTTATTTTGCAAGATGTCAAGAACAGTAGTTTGGAGTGTTGGCCTTCACTGTGGAGATGAAGGTGGGTGGTGAGGCTGCCAGTGGTGGGCACTACTCTGTGGGCCATGTTCTTAGAAGCCAGTGACTGCACTTTACTGGCTTCGCTATCTCTATTGCCTGAGGCAGCATTGTCTCACATGCACTGTCTGCTTAAAAACAGCTTTATGAACATACAGAAAACCTGCTTCTTTTTGTATAGAATGACTACCAATTGCTTGTCTACCAAAAATGTATGAATCTAAATTTCAAGGATTTGAAGCAGAAAATGTTTTTATGATGAGGATTTATACCCACACCCCTTCTTTTTAATAGGGCCTCATTGTATAGTCTGGCTTTAAAGCTGAAACTCTTCTGCCTCAGCCTTCTGCATGATGAGACTATAAGGGGTACATCACTATGCCAGCATGGGGATTTGGGTTTTGGTGCTTTCTTTAAAATCCATATTGATGGAGCTGAAGAGATATCTCACAGCAATTATGCTGCCCTTCCAGAGGATCTGGGTTCCATTCCTAGCACCTACATTAGGTAACTCCACTCCCGGGAGCTCTGGCACCCTCTTCTGATCTCCTTGGGCACCTGCATACATATAGTTCACACACAGACAAAGCAGGCATCTATAAATACACAGGAATTTTAAGTTTTTAACTTAAAAATTTATTGTAATAAATATTTTTTTTATTATTCTATGATTTTAAAAAACATTTTCCTCAGAAAATAAAAACCTATCTAAAAAGAATATATATGTTTTAAAATTATTTTTTATAGTTAATTGCCCTTACAGTCAATATTTCTTATAGTTGGTATTTTATATGTTTGATTACTATCTTTAAAGTGCTATGGCTGGATGCTCTTTGAGAGATTTGTATAACAATTATAAATCTTATGTCCAGTTCACTCGTGGGTTGTCTTTGTAGCTATGCTGAGTGCACAGAACTATATTCTGAAGCCCCACAATGGGGCTATGATGGGTCAAAAGAAGACAGACAAGATCAGTTGTGTTTAGCAGAGCCTTGATTATTTTTACAGTTAAGATCACAATACAGTAAACATCAAAGATGTTTAGAAGCATCTTTTTCTTACGTATTGTGAACGTTTAAAATTTAAAACTAGCATGTAAATAAACTCCTAAGCAGGGAATGGTGGCACATGCCTTTAATCTCAACTTGGGAAGCAGATGCAGGTTGATCTGTTATTAGGTTGAGGCCAGCCTGGTCTACAGAGTGAGCTCCAGGCCAGCCAAGGATTTAAATAGAAGCACTGTCTCAAACAAGCAAGCAAACAAGCAAGAGCAACAGCAACAACAAAAAACCCAAACCCCTCTTTTTTTTAAAAAAAAAAATTAATTTATTTATTTACTTTACATGCAGTTTTCCCCTCTCCTCTCCTCCCAGTCCCCTCCCCTCCCCTCCTTTCCCATCCACTCCTCTTAAGTTTCTCTTCAGAAAAGGGGAGGCCTCCCATGGATATCCACTAGCCCTGGGATATTAAGTTGCAGTAGGACTAGGTGCCATCCTCTCCTAGTGAGGCTAGACAAGGCAGGCCAATAGGAGGAAAGGCAGGCAACAGAGTCAGAGACAGCCCCTGCTCCTCCTGAGTCCCACTTACGGACCCAGCTACACTACTGTCACATCCTATGTGCAGAGGCCTTAGGTCAGGCCCATGTAGGCTTTCTGATTCACTGTCTCAGTCTCTGTGAGCCCTTATGGGCCCAACTGAGTTGCTTCTGTAGGTTTTCTTGTAGTGTCCTTGACCCCTCTGGATCGTACAAACCCCAGATCCCTCTTATTAAAAGCAAAAGATGTGGATAAATGTATCATGCTAATGGACTGAAAGTTGAATAATCTACATTCGTCAAATGATTTCTCATATTGGTACGTGGTGAATAAAATTTGATCAAATTGCACACGTTTCTGAGGAACTGATGACCTTATTCTAAGATATTCTGTGGGAATGTAAAGAGTTTCTGCTAGAGTCACATACACACAGCATCTGAGACAGCCCCTGAGAGCTCACACTGGCCCATGAAAACCTGTGCATTTCTTTACTGTTCTAAGTCTATATATGTCTCTGAAATATGGCTGCTCCTCCTTTGACCCCCTCAGAGCATACTGCCTGCTGATTTTTTTGCCATTTTAGTTTCTCAGAGGCCTGTCAGATGTACCAGTTCACTGACTTTCCCTTGTCATCCGGGAAAGATGACTGTCAATCATGAGTCTCATGTTGGGGTATGGGTGTGGTGGCATCCATGGCCTCCAGGTTCCAGATGAAATACTGTAGTTCTACATCAGCAGCCTGCCCTGAGTTGTGTGTGTGTGTGTGTGTGTGTGTGTGTGTGTGTGTGTGCGCAGTGAAGCTATTAGAAGCCACTGCAGTTTGGGTCACCCTGAAGTCATGGAAGAAACAAACAAGATGCTGGGCCAGTCAGGCAGAACTGGGATTTGTGTATTGATAGACATCAGAAGTGGAGGCACAGATAATGCTCGCCACGACTTTAACTGAAGTCACGCCACTGCAGATAAGAAGAGAGACACAAGCGGGCAGTTCTGCTTTAGGCACAGTGCATGGCCTCTGCCTGTCTGCTGCTTAGGTTACAGACACACACAATAACAACAGGCACAGTGGCTGCTCACTAGATCAGCTAGTCGGCATTTGGTGACAGTGACTTTGATTCTGGGACCACTGACCTAATGAAGTTCATACCTCATGCCATGGCCATCAGTCTTGTGGACAATACCATGGTCCCATAAATTCACCTGTCCAGAGTAAGAGTTAGGAGCTGAATGCCCAAATTCTGTTAACCAGGTGACCATGAAACCCACCTGAAGTAAGTGTGGCATTCTGAGGAGGATGGCAGTGGTTACGATGTCATGTAATTTTGGCTGCCATGTGTTATATGGCTCCAGGAAGGGGCTACACAGCAAGCTCTGCTGACTACTCGTTGACCTATTGGTGTGTGAGTGGACTGCTCAACAGGCTCCCTGTTGTAGCCCACAGTTCACTCTGCTGGGTGGAAGACAGAGAACCCCCAGCTTGATAAACAATGCAGCTGTAGACTCAACCCACCACCAGCTTTCCAAGGTGGTGGGACTCAGCGGGTGCTGTGCTCTCCCATTCAGCACGTGCCTCACCAAATAGAATATCAATTCTCAGCCCCTGAGATCCTGTTTAAGGTCATGACCTTGATGGTCAGGAGCCCTGAAGATCCAGAGAGGTTAGTTGGATTGGGAGAGGCTCCTGGCTACAGTTACTGTCTGAAGCTGGATTCTGTCCCTTTTCCTTCCTGCACATGAACATTCATGAGCTACTCACTGGCTCAGGCTAGCCCCACAGTGCACTGAGTGTTAGATGAGATATCCATTGTGTTGTTGCATATACTGATGGGGACACAAGGGCTCAGGGCTCCGTGGGGCGGCAGAGTGCGTGCCAGCGCTTCACCAGCTCCTTCGGCTTGCGGAGCATCTCGTCCCAGTGCTCAAGCTCTTTGCCACGGGTGTACATGTAGGGGCCCACTACCACTCGGCCCAGGGGATAGCTCTCTGCAGGGGAGGGAAAGCTTTGTCATAGTCTTAAATACAGAAGCCTAGTCACTCTCATTCTGTCTGCACTGACTTCTCTCTGTTTCCCATTCCCTGTTCTCTGGAAGGAAGTAGCAAGCTCCTCTTCCCTAATCCTGAGCCACCCAGCACTGTTTCCTCCCCCTGCGACCTTGGAGAAGGAGACCAGAGAGCTTGCATTGCAGCCCTGTCCTTCACTGCCCTGGCCCCCTGCCCCAGGTCATGTGAAACCCCAGACATGTTGAATTGCTATGGGAGAAAGCATTTTTGTAAGAGGAAAGCCTCTTCCATTGCTTTCTTGCACACTGGGCAAGAGCATAGGCAGTAATATCCACCCATCGTCTACCACTGGGGAGAAGGTCCCATGGGCAAATATCTCAGCCTCTCCAAGAGCTAGTTTCTTTAATCAGAAGCAGGGACAACTCCACTTGAGGGTAATCACTGAGTACTGCCTACAACTGTGTAGCCCCCACTTCCCATTGCCCCAACACCATGTCCCCTGCCTCCCATTCCAGAGGCCTTACTGTCCCCTTCTGTGATCTGCAGCACCACCAGGCTAAGGCTGGCAGTGTCCAGCTCATTGGTGTCAGCCTTGAAGCTGAAGGTTTCATTGTACACAGGGTTGACAGAGCCCAGTACAGCCGAAGTCTTCTTGCATTTGACGAATTTGTTGTGATTCATCAGAGACACCTTGACAAACACGCCTGTGGGCAATGCACATACACTAGTGGGCAGGAGAAGTAGACACAAGCCCAGCTCCTAAGGTAGGATCTCTGGCTAGAAGGACATGCACTCCCTCCATAAGCACCAGATCCCCATCCCTTTCTGGTCCCTGGCTGCGTGGGCCAGCGGATGTGACTGGAGCAAACAATTAGTGTGATGCTTTTCTTTCTCTGGTTCTGGAGCCTCTCATGCTCAGCTGGCCCAGTTTACTGGAACCTGGCACCATAGCCCAGCTTCCCTGCTGGGAAGGCATTGCCTCTTGGGAACTCAGGCTTCGGGCCTTCTTAAACCCCTGTCCAACCAGAAGCTGAGGGCTTAGGGGTGGGGTGCAGATGAGTTTGGATGCTCTGAACTCCAGTGGGTAGCAGGCATCTTCCACGTGGCTGGGGACATGAGGTGAACAGGGTCAATGCCTGGTTCCAGTGCTCTGGAAGGCCAGGAAGTAGTAGCACTATCAGGATACCAGCATCCCCAATGAGTAGGAGCCTTTCCTTAGGCATGGGGAGGTGTGGGGCTGAATCTGCAGACACTGGAACTATTGGGCAAAGGGACAGGCAAAGTAGGCAAGGCAGTTCAAAGAACCAAGACACTGCACTGAGGAACGGGAGGGACAGGGCAAGGTCTCCAGTCAGGACAGAGCCGTTGGTACCTAATGTTGCCTTAGAAAAGACTTTTGATACCGGAAGTATCCTCAGAGGGAGGGCTGAGCAGAGTACAGGAAGTGCTGAGTGCTTGCTCTCAGGCACAGGAAGCACAGTTTGGATGCCTGGTGGGGGGGGGGGGGTCAGACTCTGCCTAGCCTGGATTGGCTCACTAGGAAGAACCTTCTCTAGGATCAGGAGTGAGGGAGTCGGGGCGGGGTAACTCACTGACAACACCCCTGTCCTCCTGGAGCTGGAGACCCTTGGCCCGGAGCACAACCACGGTCAGGCGGCTCAGGTAGTCGTTGTAGCTGAGGCAGAACTGGAGATCACCAAACTCCGAGGGGGGCTGGGAGGCAGAGATGGAAGTGTGTACTCCTGTCACTCTGGCAGGAGGCAGAGGAATTCAGAATGATCTCCCTCCTCCAGCGTACAGGTCCAGGTGCCCATGACACACCTGGGTGGCTTCCTTTGAGACTTGAACCATTTTATAGACAGGAAAACTGATGTCTGGGTATTCAAAAACATTTGTGGATGGAGTACAGGTTAAGCATTCCCAAATCTAAAATGACCTGATAGTCAAAACCTTTTAAATGACAAATGTTAAATTATATACAGTGAAATTTTGCTTCATGCTTTTCAGTGTGTGTGCATGCGCACATGCAAGCACATATACAAGCACGTGCACGTATGCTCAGAAGTGCAGGTCCCTGCAGGGGCCAGAAGAGGACTTTGGGCACTTTCCTCTATCACTCTCTGCCTCTGTCACTTATTGCCTTGAGACAGGGTTTCTTACAGAACCTGAAGTCCTCTGTTCGTGTTAGGCTGGTGGATCAGCCAGCTCCCAGACTCCGTCAGTTTCCACTCCCCAGTGCCCAGTTACAGGACTATAAGGCCGTGTGCCAGGTTTTTATATGGGTGCTAGAGATGTGAATTCAGGTTCTTTTTTCCCCAGTGAATACTCTTACCCACTGAGCCATTCTCTACCCCTTATGCTCAAAATTAGTTAAAATACAGTATAAAGTCATACTTGTGCATATAATGTACATTGAATTGGACTTGGGTCCCCTCCCCAAGATAGCTCATTATGTATATGTAAATATTGCAAAATCTGAAAAAAGTCTAAAATCTAAAAACCTTCCCAGTCCTAGGTATTCTGGGTAACCTGTAGTAATGGGCCAGAGCCTAGGCTCTGGATTTTTAAAGCTTGTTTGGGCTCACATGGGTCTTCCCTGAGGAATGGGAAACGAGAGATAAACATGACCCTGGACCTAGGCCTTCGCATTTGTTGTGCCCACTTTCGCAGCCTTCTGACCTGTGTAGGTTACTAATTGTGCATTTCTTTTTGAGACAGAGGCTTGCTTACATAGCCCAAGCTGGCTTCCAATTTGTGATACAGGCTAGTGGCTCAGCAGATTACGCCTGACTATCTGAGTTCAGTCTCCAAGACATGGTAGAAGGAGAAGTAGCACCTGCAAGTTGTCTTCTAATCCTTCCTTACATGTATGCTGTGGCAGCCCCCTGAGGGAAGATGCTGGCTAGGCAGTGCCAGGTGGGCCCTATGCATATCGTGGCTACCCACAGTATGCTGATACCAAGTGGTATGTGTCTGGTGACCATCTCACCTCCAGGTTCTCAGCTTCCAGGTCTCTCCAGATGATACGGTGGTGGTCCCCTGCCAGGGTCTCATTCTTCAATGGGAATAGCACCTGTCCCAAGAGCTGGTGCTTCTTCTGCTTGTTTACATGGTACACGGAGAACTTCAGCACTCTCTGGGTGACACTTTTGCTGGATACCTGAGGAAGGAGAGGACCCAGGCCAGGGTTAGGTCTGGGAGTAGGGGCCAGGTGGATAATATAACATGTTGGAGACAGGATACACATCCAAACCCAGGCTTCATTGGGGACTCCTCTCAGCAGCAAGGCCCAGCAACCTGGGGAAGTGCATACGTAGACTTGAGCCTCATCATACAGTGTTTTGAGAGGACTTATACCCATTGGGGCCCCTTGGTACCCTAGTAATCAGAATCTGCCCTTGGGACATGTTTGCTTGCAGAAAAAGTGTGCCAGAAATCATGGCCTGGTCTTGTGGAGATGGGCTCTCTTTTCTCTGAGCTGTGGCCTTCACAGCTGTGAGGTGAGGTCACAGTTCTTCTTGTCTAGGTGGTAAAACCTCAATCTCTGTGCCTGGCCTACAACAGATAGCCGAACAGTACTGATTTGCTTCTTCAGATCCATCTTCCCAGAGCACGGAGGCCAGTATCACATGGGGGCATGATAACTGGTCAAACTGCTGATAGTAAGAGACAGCGTGATCATCCCTAAACAAAGCATCCTTTTCAGCCCTCGCCCCATCCAAGGCTCAGGAAACATCTAAGAGAAATCGAAGAATATAAGAACCTGATGTAGTGGTGAATGCCTTGGATTCCAGGACTTGGGAGACAGAGGCAGTAGGATCTCTGTGAGTTCAAGAGAGACACAAACTTGTACTATGTTGCGGGTATTTGGATGGAAGTACTTGGAGCAGCAATGGGGAGAATAGCACCATTGGAAACACATATAGGAAATTCTCGAGAATAAAGAAAAATTAATACTAAAAAGTTAATATTAAAATACCCTATGGCAAGGGCCTAGTAATCAAAGAAGGAGGAGGAGGAGAATGAGGAGAGGGAGAAGAAGGAGGAGGAGGAGGAAGAGGAGGAGGAGGGGAAGGAGGAGGAGGAGAAGGAGAGGAAGAGGAAAAAGAAAAGAAAGAGAGAAGAGAGAAACCAAATTTGAATAAATAATAAGTAAGATAATCCCTTAAAACAAAACAAACAAATGAACAACAAAAAAAAAAACCCCAAAAAACAAGAACACCTTTGGGTATGAAAGCCTTGGGAAGTGAGAGGAGCAGAGCCAGCATCCCTCTGTTAGGTTTCCCTGTAGGAGGGCCTCCTCTGACTGGACTACACCTCTTCCCAGCTCTCAGCCTCCTGGAGGAAGGTCTGAACCGTACTTCAGCCTGTGATCACATGCTTTCTGGAAGTGGACTGGCCTCTCCTTCCCTCAGGCTATTGTACTGCACAGCTCTTGAGAAATGTTTGTCCAAGATCTCTTGGCAGGTCCTTCTAAGAGGCCCTGGACACTTGCTGTAGTTCCCAGGCTGCTGTAAACATGGTGCACAGGCTTCCTACCCAACCTTAGACCCAGGGTGTGGCAAAGGCACCAACAGTCACAGCTGTGGCTCCTGTCCCTGACACCTCCACTAGGACAGGCTGTTTTGGCCCCAACTCAAATAGGCCTGAGGGTCTTCCTTGGATGACCATGCCTATAATGCCCAGGGCATTGGGTCACTTTCAACAGCTCCAGGGGCCAGAGCCTAGCATTGAGTAGACATTTCAAAATGTGCTATTGCTTTCTTCGTTCTCTAAGACAGCTAGGACAGGAGGGACCCAGGCTCTGACCACCTCTCCCTACGCCTCATTAAAACAAACAAAAAAATCCCCCATCACCAGGGGCTACCTCCTGTAGACCCTGCTCCTGCCTCCAAGTAAAGCCGAGCTGGAGGCTCAAGTGTCAGTCAGGGCTGGAAAGCCTTGACTGTAGGAAGTCGGATTATCCTGCACAATGCTCCCTGCCAGGGAGCCCAAGGACACTGGATACTACTGTTCCAGAAGTACCTGGAAGATGAAGTTCTCATCAAACTGTGGGTTGCAAGTTTTGCGTTTGGTCTTGGACTGGAGGAAGCGCCGCTCGTCAGGCAACAGGTGGAGCTTCACCAAGGTGCTGCAGGTCTCAGAGGGGACCTGCAGTTGTTGAGCCTTGATCAGGCCCACCAGCAGCCGCTCAGACTCCTGCTGGTACTCCACGGAGAACCACAGCCGGCCCAGGCAGCCATCAGGGAAGCCTGTCTCACTCCTGTCCTCTGTGGACTTGTACAGCTCGGGGTTGACACTCCCCATCACACATGCATCTCCTACAACAGAAGTGGAGGGAGGTCTGGCCCACTAGAGAAAGACAGGGACATGGGAGACAGTGGCCAGCTCTTGGTGCATCCCCAGCATGGCCAGACTACTCATTGTATGCCGGAGCCATTCCACCTGTCCCTCTGATTGCCCACATTTCTGGAGATCAGGGCTTGCTTTCTAGAACATCTTTCCCAGTACCTGGCCCTACTCCTCTCTACAGTGCCTAGGGAAAGATAGAGAGTGACCAAATATTGCCTTTCTTCTTACTCTTCAACTTAGAATGAATAGCTGGTTACTGGCACGTATCCTGGGAGATCTTCAGAGGAAGGAAGTAGCTGCTAAACTCTGCTAGTACCCCCAATCCTTCTGCCCTCTCGGTTGGCCAATCAATTCATCATCCTGGGACAGGACTCAGTCCAGTTCTGTACAGGGCATGTGTGGGTTCCAATTCTATACTGAATCCTTAACATTTTTTATTTCTTGTGGTTATTTTTGTGTGTATGTGTCATATGTATGTATATATATGATACATATATATGATGTGTATGTATGGACATGCACATGCCATGGTGTGTGTGTGTGTGTGTGTGTGTGGTGTGTGTGGTGTGTGTGTGTAAGTCAGAGGATAACTCCGTGGAGCCCATTCTTGCCTTTCACTTTACATGGGATCTGGGGATCATACACAAGCAGTCAAGTTGTGGCATGTGCTTTTTACCCGCAAAGCTTTCTCATGGGTTCCTACGTCAAATTCTTGCTGCCTCTGTGTCCTTGGGCAAAGCATTGCTGATGCCCAGCTTCAGCTACAAATGAGGCCGTAGTTCCCTCAGCTTCAGAGGGAGGAACTCAGTGAGGTCCAACTCCACAACAGCATATGAGTGTGGGGTGAAGCAGGCACTTGGTGAACAAAGTACCAGAAACAGTGGACAAGCGGGAACCCTGGCATCCTTGGGCTGGCCATGGGAGTGAAAGCAGATGGCCAGACCTAGCCAGATCAGCCCCTGCCCGAGTCCTGGAAGGACTTACCAGGGTTGGCACTGGATGTGCCAGTCATGTGCTCTGGGACAGGGCATGAGTCCTGTGAGGTCACAGCCCAGTCACCACCATGTAGGGTCACCCAGTCTCGGCCTTGGTGAGAAGGGGGTACCACAAATGGTATACTTGGTAGCCTGTCCGAAAGAAGGGAAACCACATGTAGATGGCAAATGAGTTATGTGACCTCAATGCTCAGCCAAGAGGCTGAGTGCCAGAGGCTGGAGAAAGAAGAGCCAGCGAGAGCCAAGAGCATCCCTTCTGGGGCTCTACTAGGACACGGACACACACACACACACACACACACACACACACACACACACTGCTTGTCTACCCATAATAGTGTGATGTGGGAATCAGAGCACAGCCTTTGATAGCAGCCTGTCTGGCCTGTAATTCCTAGTCGTGGTATACGGACCTGTTTTTTAATATCCTCTGAGCCAGTTTTCCCAGCTAGAAAATGGAGTTTACAAAGCCTGGCTGGAGCTTATTGTGAGGTTTCTGGGGTTCCTTGGCATAGTTTCCAGCATGCTCATAGCCTGAGATAGGTACCCCACAACAAAACTTTCCTCTCCCACCTTTTCCCACTCCACCGGCAAGTGCTCAAACAAGGACTTAGAGAAAGAAAGGTCCAGAACCTCACCTGCCAGGTAGGGTCCCAGCACACTGGCAGAGCCTGTCCTCTTTTCTGCTGAAGGAAGAGGTGGTGACCCGGTCTGGTGTCTCTGGCAGTTCCTCGTAGGTGAAGGTGGCGCAAAGCCTCCTACACAGACAGCAGCTCACTCCGACCAGCAGCAGCAACCCCCCAATGATGCCGCCTATCGTCAAGGCCAGCTGCTCTGAGGCAGAGGCCACCAGAGCAGGCTGTGAGTCACCTGAGGAAATCCACCCACCGACTCACACACCTCTGTCCTCGGGAGTGTGCAGAGTCAGACAGTGCCCCACACCAGGAATGGCACATAGATAAGATGTTTGCTGGTCTCAGCCCAAAAGATTTCCCTTGGGAATAGTTGGCCCTGAACTTGGTTGTGGCTGAGCTCCAGAGTAGAAAGCAAACCTTCTCTCATAGAGCCTCCACTTCCCTGGGTTCCTGCTAGGGTTTGGATGTGAGCTTGGGTTATGGGTGCGGTGCACATAAGAAAAGTCCAGGAAGGAGTCGCTGAATCCAGGCTTGACAGAGCTCAGTTTTGGGGGTGGGTGGTGGTGGGAAGACGTGGAATCAGATGGGAGTCTCCACATGCTCTAAGCTCGATAGCAGTGTCCAGTCAGTCTCTTCCCCCCAACCCCCACCCCACCCTCTATCAAGGAGAACCCATGCTTTGGGTGGAAGGTGGCAGGCAGTGAAGCCTATTTTGTAAAGGATTTGGCAGATTTGAGTAATGGAAACTTAAGGATCCTTGGACTCCCACATTTTCAGGGACTCCAGAGGCTATACCTGGAGTTACCAACAAAGCTTAGTTGCTAGTTACAGGGAGTGCAGGCATGGATTTTCCCAGGCTCAGGAGTCTACATAGCTGCTTGAGAAGGCGGAACTGGTACTCATGTTAACTGTAACTGAGAAGAGCTAAGCTTTTAGTCCATTTCCGCGGCAGGCAAGTGCTTGAACTGTTGGCGGAGAGCAGACTCTGCGCCCTGGGACAGGGGTAGAAGGTGAGGCCACTTACCTGCCATCGGGTTGCTCCTGGGTGGTGCGGCTCCGGTGCTCAAAGCCTCAGGCTGCTGCTTGGACAGCGCGGTCTCCAGAAAGTGAAGGCTGCTGAGGGGTGGCCGGGAGGCAGGGCTCCAGCGCCCCAGGTCACGGCGACGCCCCGCCCTGGTGTTGGCCCCAGCCCGGGAGGGGCTCGGAGGCTCTGCTGCAAGTCCGGAAACCATGGGCTCCGGGAGGGGTAGGTCCTAGGCTCCCATGCCAGAGGCACGAGCAGCTTCCTGCTGGCTCCTGCCAGGTAGGGGGTCACTTCCAACGCTGAGGGTAGAGCAGAGCCTTCTCCATCAGCGTCTGACAGTGGACTCTGCACCTGGTATCTTACACATGGGGCTCCTGGCATGAGCCTAGCCTGTGGTCAGAAATTAGCCTGAGTCCTCCACTGATTTCCTTCGAGGGCTGAGATGCACCTCCTTCTAGACCCCCAACCCGGTTTGGCTCCGGGGAGCCTTTCCAATCCTAGGCCAGCGTTCCTGAGCTTTCCGGGGCACAGATACTACCTGCCTGGTTGTCCTAGCAGCTGTATGGAGCTCAGGTTACACAAGGTCAGATTTTCAGGTTTCCAACGGCAATCTGTCACTGACAACTTTTTTGCCCAAACCTTTCTCACCTAGGTTAGCAATACACCTTAAGAGTGTTCAGGTGAACATCAGAGGCTCTCACCATCTTGACAGTCTTAGTGGTGACTTAAAAAATGTGTAAGGGATGGCAGCCACTATTAAGGTGACAATCTGACCCAGGTGATCATTAACTGGGTCTTCTCGGTATACCGGTTATCATTGTGATTGTTATTTGGCTGCTTTGAGAATGGGAGGCTCCCACTAGGGGCTATGCAGGAATTTCCAGGGGTTCCTACCTGTGAGTTCTCACCCTCAGTAAGCACCCTTTCTCCGCTCCTGTAGAACTTCCCTAGAAAGGTGTAAAGCTCCACTCTGAGACTCAGTGGCTTCTGTAAGAGGGGCCCTAAGGAAATGGGGAAGGGGAGGTCCATCTTGTGTTTTACAGTCATTGAAGTCACACACAAAGATGAAGCTTTGCTGCTGGGTGGCCAGAGGTGCTGGTGTGTCACCAAGGGCTGCATAGATAGGTAGGTTGGTGGGAAAGCTCTACTGGAGCTTTCCTTCACCTGAGGCAAGGCAGGATGAATTGTGAACCTTTACCTCCTGGGGACAGAGGTCCCAGTTCTGAAGTCTGTTATCCCTAAGGTGTGACCATACTACCTCATTCCAGAACCTCTCCTAGCAGGCTAGGCCACCCCGGCATTTCTACTCCCCTTCCTCTCAGCCTCTGTCCTGGCAGCACAGTGAGACTGGAGAGTGTCAGGAGACTCCAGTGTTCAGAAGTGATCAAGGAGATGCTGGCGTGAGTTAGACATCCGTATGTTCTTACTCCTGCAATGACAGCAGTTCCAAGGTCAGAGGCTGAGGTGTGCCTTCATGGTAGTCTCCTTTTCTAATTGCTATGGCAGCTTATTAGAGCCTTCTTCATCTTCAAAGCCAGTTTGCAGCATTTTCTAACCTTTGATTCTGGGTCTTTGTTGTTGCTTTGTTTTTGAGAGGGGTCTCTCTTTACATGGTACTGGTTATCCAGAACTTGATCTGTAGACCAGGCTAGCCTCTAACTCACCAAGATCCACCTGCCTCTGCCTCTCAGGTGCTGGGATTAAAGGTTGGTGTCACCACACCTTGCCTGGACCCAACTCTCTCAGCTCTTCTCTTTTAAGGACTTTCAAGATTGCAGAGACCCACCAGGCACCTCAGGATAATCTCTTCATGTCAAGGCCTTTAAATTAACCACATTTGCAAATCCCCCTTTGCCATTCGAGGTGATCTCATAAGGTGTTGTGCTGGCTAGTTTTTTTTTTTGAAAGATTTATTTATTTATTATATATGAATACACTATAGCTGTCTTCAGACACATCAGAAGAGGGCATCAGATCTCATTACAGATGATTGTGAGCCACCATGTGGTTGCTGGGATTTGAACTCAGGACCTCTGGAAGTACAGTCAGTGCTCTTAACCACTGAGCCATCTCTCCAGCCCGCTGGCTAGTTTTTATATCAGCTTGACCCAGGCTAGAGAAATCAGAGAGAAGGGAATGTCAACTGAGAAAAAGCCCATAAGACTGGGCTGTAGGCAAGCCTGTGGAACATTTTTCTTAATTAGTGCTTGATGAGGACCGATCGAATCAGTCCATCCTGGGCTGGTGGTCCTGGGTTTTATAAGAAAGCAGGCTGAGCAAGCCACGAGGAGCAGCTAGTAAGCAGCACCCCTCCATGGCCTCTGCATCAGCTCCTGCCTCCTGGTTCCTTCCCTGTGTGAGTTCCTGTCTTCACTGCTTTGAATGAACTGTTATACGGAACTGTGAGTGACATAAATCCTTTCCTCCCTAAGTTGCATTGGTCATGGTGTTTCTCACCACAATAGTAATCCTAACTAAGACAAGTGTGGACAACTTTGGGACAGTCATTGAACTGATCACATTGTCTATTCGTCCCTTGGACTTGGGGCAGGAGGGGTTCACATTCTTCTTCCTGCTACCTGCAGTTTTTGGTGTGTCCCGGGGCTGGCTTCAGGCATCTAGAAAGGCCCATATGCCTCCTTCCTGGTGACCCTGTCCATAATGAGGTATGATGCCTTATACGTACTTGCTGCCTTTCCTATTGAGTCTGAGTTGCGCTGGGTCTAATCTGAGTGTTGAGTAGAGACTGATACGCTCCTAGCCCCATGCTATGCCTTCCCAGGGCACCCTTCTTCCTCTCTGGTCTCCTGTTTGGCCACCAACATCCAAGCCAGCATTTTCCTCTGTTTATTTTAATCATCTCCAGAACCTTAGTCCAGGCCTCGTTCACTAACAGTACTGCATGGGCTTCCTCTGGGCGCCTCACATGTGATCAAGTGTATCTCCCACCTCATCTCTTTTAAGCTCTTTCCATCCCTTTCCCATTTCGGGTCTGGCCTGATGCAGATACTCTCAAGGACCTGCCAACACACTGGATTCTTTTGAGTATCCCCGGAATACTCAGTCCCTCCCACTTCCCTCAGACAGGCTCATCCTGCTGGCTGAGCCTCTGGCACCTTCTTCATGAAGCCGGTCATCATTGGCTCCTTGACATCACAGTTCCTGCAGCTGCCATGATGACTAAGAGACTCCAAGTCTGTGGCTGTCATCTGTCCTGCTCTCTCCAGCAGATTAGCTCTTTCATGGAGGCAGGGCTATGTCTTACTCAGCCCCACGCCTCTCAGTACAAGGCTGTGATGACCGTGGCTTATGCCAGCACTGGCCACATATCACATGCACTCGAAGCTTCTCAGGAGCTCCTCATCCTGGGCACCAGCTGCTGGGACTCGTGCTCATGCTTTGAGCTCTTCTGTAAGCATCTTCCACATCCAACCAGCTCACATAACTTGGGACTTTTCTCATTAGAAGAAAGGCAGGAGCCGGGAGGGAGCTCGTTCTTTTTTGTGGCTCTCAGTGTTCTGGGCATTGAGATTCAGGCCCACTTTATAACATCCCACTGAACTTCGTATTAGCCTTGAGGGCCAGGGCTAGGCTTTCATAGGCGGAAACTAAAGAGGCATCATGGGGGCTGGAGAGATGGCTCAGTGGTTAAGAGCACTGACTGCTCTTCCAGAGGTCCTGAGTTCAATTCCCAGCAACCACATGGTGGCTTACAACCATCTGTAATGTGATCCGATGCCCTCTTCTGGTGTGTCTGAAGACAATGTACTCACATGCATAAAATAATTAACTCTTAAAAAAGAAAGAAAGAAAGAAAGAAAGAGGCATCATGGCTCTTCCAGAAAGCAGTGGAACTAGATCCCTTACACGGACAGGTCCACATAAGTCCCCAGGAGGCTTGGTATTGCCCCTGACTAGGCCAGAGTCAAAGGTTTCCCCTCTGTACCTCAAGTGCTCTGAGACCAGGCTGGCTTAGGGCCAACTTCACATAATGGAAGTGTTTCCCAGGGCTGGGTGCAGCCTGGCCCCATTTCCTGTTTTCAGATCTGGCTGATAGCTGGGTCTCTGGTGTTGGAAAACCTGGAAACAGCAGCAGACATAAAAGGAAATCGTATCTTTATTGACAGTACATTTCCAGGGAGATTTGCTGGAAGTCCAAGAGTTTCAAGGCCCTCGAATGCCTGCAGGTGATAAATAATTCAGTGTGGCAGATGATTCATGAGAAAGGCCACTTTCAATTAACCTTAAGAATCAGCCTCCATCTAAGGAAGTATCGCCTCTCATCACGTAGGAACAGAGAAGCCAGAGCAGGATAAAGACCACACTGAGAGATACGGACAAGACTGTGCCTCACATCTGTGTAAGCGTCTCCCTGGTTAGCTAAGGTCCCTGTTAATGAGAGAGGGAACCCCTCATCAGCATCATTCTGTTCTCTCCTTCAGCTACAATCTTCCTTCCTTCCTTCCTTCCTTCCTTCCTTCCTTCCTTCCTTCCTTCCTTCCTTCTTTCCTTCCAAACAGGGTTTATCTGTTTAGCTTTGGCTGTCCGGAAACTTGCTCTGTAGATCAGGCTGGCCTTGAACTCACAGAGATCCACCTACTTCTGCCTTCCAAGTGCTAGGATTAAAGACATGCACCACTGCCTGGCTAGACTTAATTTCTTACAGTCCTATTATAGTTCGGGTCATATACTTATCTCAGAGGCACACATGTTGGTTCCCAGCCTGAGGTACTACTGGATGATGGAGTCTTCAGCATGTGGGGCCTAGTGAAAGGACAATAGCCATTTGGGGTGCACATTTAAAGGGGACCTTGGCACACTATACCTTCCTGTTTCTGTCTTTGCTTCTGGGCTTCTTGTTTTCCTGTGTGTCCCCCTCTGTGATACTGTGTCCTTGATGACACAATAGCACTGGCAACAACTGGGCGTAGACTGAAACCTTTGAAGAGTGAGCTGTAATGAGTATTTCTTGTTTAGTGTTATCCTGAAAATTATGAGAGAAAAGACCAACTCCACAGTTTTAGAGCTGAATTTGAAGCAAGCTTTA